ACATGCAGGAGAATGAACATGCAGGAGAATGAACATGCAGGAGAATGAACATGCAGGAGAATGAACATGCAGGAGAATGAACATGCAGGAGAATGCCCTCAACAGAATACTGCTCGAGACTAGCATTCTATATTCAAGATGTCGTTCCTTCCTTAAAAGTGCCAGCTGGGCATGAAGCAACTTCACAACCTAAGGTATCAACAGTCGAGCCTTATATCGGCTTCTTGTCCTTACGCCTGTCAAGCTCCTTGAGTATATTCGGCCCTCAACATGGGATGTCCCTCTGATATCGAGACGCATACCCAATGTATCAAGTGCGGTCGTTGTACCAACCTGTCCCAGGCATGCAACCTGTTCCAGGCATCCTTGATATGCGTTAATGCCCAAAAATCCCTCGATCTTAGTACCGAAAGTGTTCTGTGTTTTGCCTTTGCATTAGGTATCGAGATGAAACCTACCTACGTATGTGATTAGTAGAAGGATTGATAGGAGTATAATCAGATTCGCCATTGACCAGATTTCGCTTCATGGTGTATGTAGCACAGATGCCACAGCTTCGAAACATGATCTATTGGTGATGAGATAGATGAGAAGACAGAGAAGATAGAGAAGATAGAGAAGATAGAGAAGATAGAGAAGATAGAGAAGATAGAGAAGATAGAGAAGATAGAGAAGATAGAGAGGACAGAGAGGACAGAGAGGACAGAGAGGACAGAGAGGACAGAGAGGACAGAGAGGACAGAGGAGGACAGAGAGGACAGAGAGGACAGAGAAGATAAAGGCCTCCGCCGCCCACAGCTGACCTACTAAAGCCACAACGCCGCAGCTGAGCCATCAGCCTTGCTGGCAAGGCTACCGTCATGTGACATGCATCCAAGAAGGTTTACACACGGTGATCTCGTGGAGCAGAATATCCTGGTTCAGGAGCAGCCAGCTACCGGCAGCCAGACAGGCCGGCAGTACAAAGTGACCGCCATCATGGACCGGGAGATGGGGGTTGGTACAGTACCCCCAGTACTGGGAGTACGCCATCTCCTTTGTCGGCATGCTATGGAATAGCGACTGAGAAGCGACGTTTGGGATGTTTATTAGCCCTTGGCCTCTTGGAGCTGCCATGTTGCGGTTAGTTAAGCTGGACATGGAAGGATTTAAAGAGGTGCGAATTCCAATTTGTTGGAAACTAGACAAACACAGTGGAGGTACAGAGATATTGCCGCAATAGACTTGCGTGGCAACCATGTCTGATCAGCTTCTTCGTCCAGGTATCATTCCAGGGACCAGCCCGTCGCAAAGCACCCAACCGAACCAGAACCCAACGGATGACACAAGAGTAAACGCCGATTCAGATGAAGCTGGAGCACAGCCATCCATATCACCTAGACCTGTGTATCTTCCGTCGTCATGCTGGACGCTTTCGGGGTCGACTCTTGTTTTTCTTTCCCCAAGTTTCCTTCCAAGTAATTCCATTCTGGACCGTGTGTTCCTTGGACTTCCTCTTACTTTTTCCAACTTCACGTGGCCCAGGTAGACAAAGAAGAAGCATGATCTTCGGTTGGCTCAGATAGAGTCGAACGGGAGGTTTCTGCGTACGAGGAAGTGTCCGACATATCCGGAGCTGGCTGGCAGGCTGGCATATCTACCGCACCATCACCATTGAATGATTCCACCTGCAGCTGTGGGCCTCGGCACCAGATTTGTTCAGCTTCGATCAACGGCAACCCATGCAATCCGCTGCCTGGACTGACTGGTGACTAGCGGGCGCAGGCGAAGGCGAACGGGGATACTGATCGAACAGCGTGTCGAGATACCCGCGTCATCATCGACATGTCTTGAGGGCCTCAGGCCCGTGAGGTCCCAGACCTGCTTGGAATCCTTCACTTCTGCACTCTGAAGATGTCGGCCGCTGCCCGTCGAGATCGACGAGGAACGCGAACAGACGTGGAGAAAAGCGTCATTAAGAAAGATAAGCGCGTAGGAAAGGGCGAGGGTCAGTCGGTGAGGTCCGAGTCTGCGAATGCCAAGATCTGGGGAAAGGCTGTTTCAACCTCCGTTCCAGGCTCGAGTATAAAGTGACAGATCTGCGTGATTGTTTTGTTTAGGCTTCCGCTCCCAGATATTCAGGAATCTCCAAGATCACAGCGGCTCGACCGACCGACTTTGATCTGATAATCTGTATACCACTTCCCTTGACAAGGCGGTGCAGCCGCTCAGCTGCAGCCATCTTCTCACTGGCGGCCCCCCGTGGCCCTGCTCCATCCTACAGCTCCTTGCCAAATGGCCCAGCACCGGTGCCCGCGCCGCAATCACATCTGATTCTCGAACATGGCACGAAGGGAGGCGTGGCGCGCAGTGCGCGGTACCCGCGAGTAGCTGTTGTGCTGGGGGTGCAGCCCCATTGGTACCTGCCTCTTCTTCTTTGTCGTGCTCTATCCCTCGTCTCAACGATATGGTGGGCTTGCCACGCGTGTCTCAGCATATACCGGCTTGTCTATGTGCACGGCTCAGATCATCCTAAGCCACCAGACCAGCACCCGCCACGGCAGATCGACAATGGGCTGGTCGAGAATCAGACTTTCCGGCGCATAGCCATAGCGCAAGTCGGATTGAGTTTCTTGTGGGTATGTAACTACCCCATCTACATCTGCTTCCTCATAGATACTTCTCAAATCTGGACGAGAGCTGCATAGATACTTCTCAACTATGAACGTGAGCTGACCAGAACCTCAGGCCGGTGCCGCTGCGTATCTTGCCCACATCTTCGCGTCCTCGCTGATGTCGCGTTGGCTGCTCCATTATTCGCCGTTCGCCGTCTTGGTCCGTCTCTGCAGTCTTTCGATCCTGCTGACGTTCGGCTGCATGCAAGTCTTTCACTTCTCGGCCGCCACGGAGCCCGACCTCTTCAAGCTCAGCCGGAGCCTGTTGGCATGGATCACCCTCTCGATCGCCTTGATGCTGGCTTACTTTTGCACCCAGCAGGACATCTCGCTGGAAATGGACCGGGACGACCGACGCCGGAGGCAGATCTTGCGCCTGAAGTGTCTATATGTCATCTCCGCCTGCAGCCTATTCAGTTTGACCGTGTTGGTTTGTCTGGTACATGTCGATGCCGTGACGTGGAGCAGGGCTGACATGGAGACCCTGATCCATTCGATAGTCTCTCGCTGGCAGAAAACCTCGGCCGTGTTCAAGACCGAATTGTGATGCTAGTTGTGACGAGAGATGCCGACTGTTTTGTTCCATAGCCTTCCATATCATAGGGCAAGGCCTACCTATCCGAATGCAGAGCGATTAGAATTAGATCCCAGGCGTCTTCCAGACCGGGTTCGCTTTTCTTCTCTCGGATGCTGTCTAGGAGCGCCTGGGTTTCGATCATGTTCTTGTTCCTGTCTTCTTCAGTCCTGTTCGTCTTGGTCATCCAAAGGCATTGGCAATGCCTTTCAAGCATTTGTCTCTAAATCTGAATTTGAGGTAGCTTCTGCTGCTTGGTGTGCACTATTCACCAATCACCATCCACTACTCACCATTAAGTATTCACGCATCTGCTGTACAGCCTGAGGTAGCTTCTGCTGCTTGGTGTGCTCTATCCACTGTTCACTATTCACGCATCTGCTGTACAGCTGTATGTAAGATGACTCTGCCTTGGATGGTCTGACCCAACTCGGAGATGCGTCGCTCCACATTCCATTGATCCCCATTATTGACGACCAGGATCTTGAGGCGACACCGGGCGCTCTCGACCAACTTGGCCAGCAATTTAAGCAGCAGCTTGCGCTGGTCCACCTTTTCCACCAGGTCGCAACACTGGTCCAGCCTGTCCAGTACGATGTGAATGGTTTCGGAATCGTCAAAAAGACCAATGACTCGGTGGACGACGTGTTCGAAGGCGGCGAGCCTCCGGGCGTCGCCGGTTCCGCTTGTGGCGTGGTTGTGGTTGGCGACAGGCTTGCATGCCTCGAGATTGCTCAGGGCGGCGCGTAGCTCGTCCCATTGGGATTTCTTCCTCAACACCACGCTTTTCTTCCGGAGCAGTTGCAGAAGGACGGCGGAGATGGAGCGGTAGAGGTCGTCTTTCGAATGAAAGACGTAGTACCCGTACACGAGATTCTCAGTGCCTCCAGAGGTGGCCTGGAACAAGTCCGAAATCATGGCCGTGGCCACGGGCGACACCCAACACCGATCCAGGTAGTTGATACTGCTCTCGTTGTGTCCAGATAGGATCAAGAGGGATGGGCCGTCCGAGTTGGACCAAGATTGATAGCCGCTGTCGGCCCTCAGAGCATCGAGACGCTTGCCGCGCATCTGCTCGAAATAAGGTGCGTTGAGGTGGTCGTCGGAAGCCAGAGCACGCCTGTATTGCTCCAGCTGTTGATGTTGGCGCTCGCTCGAATAGTCCGACAGGTTGAGGGCTCGCTGGATATGGCTGAGGATGTGGTTGTCCTGTGCTTCCAGGAGCTGTTTGATTTCACCCTGAAGATCTGCCAGCCGAGTGTCAAAGTCAACATGCGACCGGCGAAGATGGAGAGAGATCGCCAGGCCCTCTTTGAGGCCCATCTTTGGCACCCCGTGGGCAAGGACACTCACTCTGAATTTCGGCCTTTTGATCCAGATTCAGCTGTTTGATCATATGCACGTTCTTATCCAGCAACTCGTCGCACAAGCGCCGTATGTCCAGTATCACCTTGCGCACCCGGGTTGCCTTGTCCACGAGATCGTTAGGCCAACCCATGGCTTTGAGCCAGCGTCGCACTCCCGCGCGTTTGTAGTACTGCGTTGCTCCGATGCAGAACTCGATGAACATCTGATAGGCCGCTACAATTCGGCCCTGGAGCCGGATATCCAGCTCGTGCCGGTCATTGTAGATATGTCGGTACAGATCCAAGCCGGGCAGCCGGTCGTTGATCTCGATAATGGCATCGGTGAGCGAGCTTTCCATAGCATCTTTGTTGGCTGCAACCTGGCCCGCATACAGTTAGTTAGTTCAGCATCCTCCTTCCTTTCGGTGGACACGGCCGAGCATCACACAGGCGGAAAGGAAGTACGGCCGAGTGTCACAGAGCCTGAACGTAAGCACGGCCGAGCGTCACAGAGGCTGAAAGTAAGCACGGCGAGCGTCACACAGACTGACAGTAAGCAACTGGTAGATAGACATAGATGGACTCACAGCAAAGAGCACGGAGATGGTCCCGACAGCCAGTCCGCCGTAGGGGCCAGCACAATCTCTCACGACGTCGATGATGGGCGAGAAGTCCTTCATGAAGCTTTGGACCACCGAGGCCGCATTCTGGTATTGTCTCGCCCAGACGCGCAGGCCACAGCCTTGTTCGTGGCTGTCGTCGAATTCGCCCTTGGCCTGGATGGTCTGCTCCCAGAAATCGTGGAACTCCTGCGCCGAGCTGAGGCTGAAGGCGGTCTTTTCGGTCGCGCTATAGCTCTTGCTGGTGGCAACGGTCTTCTGGAAGTTGATCTGTTCGGCCTCGGACCTTTGAATCGTCGCCCTAGGAATGGGAATGCATCACCCCATCAGCTGTATGTCTTGACGGTCAAAGATCTTGTCGCGAGTCGATGCCAATATGCGGAGCATAACGGAGCCATATGGCTAGCTAGGGGGTACTGAGACTCACAAGTCCTGTTCAGATAGGCCTTTGGTGCTGGTGGTGGAGAGTTGAGCTTGAGGCGACATTGCCATCATGGGTGGCCATCCGTAGCAGCGCTCCGGACACCAGGACAATGTATCCGTATTCCGTCCTGTGTGCTCTGTACATAAATGGAGTTGAGCCTCCTATGTGCACCGAGAGTCATGCGCAGATTCCAGTCCCTCGCTTACTGTAGGCGGGGTCCCTGAGCCCCTAAGCCTCAGGAGCTTCCTTAGCCCCTTAGCCCCCTTAGCCTCCTAAACCCCGAGCCTTAGGAGCCTTGCCTCTGTACGCCCGAGTCTTTAGGCGTGGGCTGGCGCGTAACAGTTGCGTGCAATTGGCACGGACTTCGGTTTTCGCACACTACGGAGTCCCTTAGTCCATGCTTACCTCGGTTTGTGTAATTGGCGATTGGGGGCCGTCGTCGTCGCCTAACAAGCTGCTGCTTCTGCTAAAAATCAAGGGGGGTAAGGGCACTGGTGCTGGCCCATCACCGTCTGCCATGTGGTGCAGCCGGTCGAAGCTGGATAAAACACCCCGGCCACTTGAGTCGATTGGGCATCTTGCAGAACACGCCACTAATCGGTACAGGAGTAGTAGGTCCAGGACAGTAAGAGTAGGTCCAGGATGTGCTTCAGCCGCTCGAGGGGCAGGCACTACATATGTGCATGTGCATTTCGGCCCCTTACAATTCCGGTGATGCTGTACATCTCGTCTCGTCCATGACTCGATTTCGACGAGCTCGTCAATTAACGAGGGGCGAGCCGCATACGGAATACAGCCCAGTTCGCGCGCTCTTTTCAGTACAGGAGTACCCAACAGCCTTGGGGTGCTTCGATAGTACATATTAAGGACAAGGACCCTCCAGCTGTACCACCCCTCCGCACGCGGTGTCCAGTGGCTTGCACCAGGCTTGAGTCCACGTTACGCTGATCGGGAGCTCAGGCTCAGGCTCAACCGCGATGGTCGAGGACATGGCTCAGGCCTCGCATCTGCAGATCCAGGCGAGCTTGGAGAAGAAGATTGTGGCGCTGGAGGCAAAGGTTGCGGCTTACGAGTGGGCGCTCTCGAAACTCCAGCCAGAGCCTGTTGTTGCACAAGCACAAGAGAGTGCCTCAGACGATGGCGAGGCCGAGGCGCAAGAGCCTGCTGACGACACCGCCGGACCACCGCCTACCAGGGAGGCCGACGCCGGACCCAAGTCTCGGGCGAAGATATTGGTGAGTGTGATCGACCTGAGGACTCGCGAGCGCAAACAAATCCGGGCCGAGGAGCAGCCCAACGAGGGCGGGACGGCAGACACGCCTTATGCGTTCACGCTGCGCAAGATCGTGGCCGGAATCGAAGATGACACGGGATAAATCGACATCCACGACCTGAATCTGTGGAATCTGCTGAAAGAGCTGCTGAGCCACTATCCGTTCCACATCTTCCGCGGCGCCCCCACCACGCTTTACTCGCCGTATGAAGCCTTGGTCCTCAACTGGGAGAAACTGGAAGAAGCCGTCAAGGTGACGACGGCAACGGACAATGCGACCGACAAGCAAGCTCGGTCGGACCTGAAATTGCTCCTCGACACCATCTCCAGTTCTTCTGGCGACGCCAGGATCGACAAGTATTTCAAAATCCGAGATTCTTGCAAATCCCAACAGTCGGTCACCTTTGAGAATCTCTGGACCATCTTCCCGCCCGGAACCTTGGTGTATGGCCGACCGTTTCAAGACCAAGACCAGCTGTTCGTGGTCCTGGACAGCGTCCGCCAGTGGCCGTACTTCAGTGACGAAGTGCCTCGTGAGCAGGCGTCGTGGACTCTCCTCGCTTGGACCTATGACTGGGACGGCAAGAAATTCCGGCGCAACTGCTTGCAGCTGGAGTTCGACTATTTCGAGGGCAGCAAGCCCATCACCTCCTTGCCTTATTTTCCTTTCGACCTCCACGACCGCCGGCATGCCATCACCACCGCTTTGCTCAAGCGTGGAGAGAAGTATCGCGCCTTGTGCACCGCCACTCAAGGCTCTCGATTGTTCGATTACAGAGGAAACGCTGTTCTCGAGAAACAGGGCTTCTCTGGCTTGCAAGGAGACGATCAAGCAGCGGTAAGACAAGCCCCCCCAATAACCCATGGTCACGGAAGGACTGTCTTAACGAGGTCATAGGACGAGAGCCAGATTAGGCGAGCTTTCTGGGAAGGAATGATGGATGCGCTGAAAAGCAAGGTCAAGCATATAGAGCAGCGTGGTGCTCCACCAAAGTCTTCAGTGGTGAGTCGAGTTCGATGCCCCATTGGATCTGATCGGGAGATGGGAGATGGGCTCACACCGACATAGTGTCTCGTCTTTGCAGGTGGACAGTCGAGTCATGGTCGACTTCGAATCATATTTTGTCTTTGGTCCCGCCGTTGCACGCGTGGGCTCCCTGTGGCCGGACGACGAGCAAACCCAGTGCAATTGCAATGACTGCCGAGAGAACGTCCTCTTGAACGACGCGTACCGCACCAGGTTTGACGAATTGGACCGGCAAGAGGGCACGTGGGAGGACGAGCAATACCTGCTGTGTCCGCCTCGCGTACTTGGCTACGCCCTGCAGGACAAGCAATGGGCACAGCTCGAGGTTGGCCTGCTCGAGAATATCCCGGAGAAGGACCCGGAAGACGCCTGGTCAACCCGGCTCAAGCTTGCTGATGGCGGAAAGACCAAGAAGATGATCTTGGAGCTGGTTGAAGGCCACGGCAAAGCCGGCTCATCCGAGATTGACCGGCTGGAAGTGGACGACATTATTGCTAAGAAAGGCAAGGGCCTGGTCAATCTTCTTTATGGTGAGCCCCAAGCCAGCCCAATCCCAACTTGAACTTTGTACTGCAACTGCATGAGCATCCACTCCATGTCTCACTCAAAATCTTATCTTGCAGGACCCCCGGGCGTGGGAAAGACGTCCACAGCCGAAACCGTAGCCCTCGCAGCACGAAAGCCTCTCTTTGCCATCAGCGTCGCCGACGTGGGAACCCGGGCCAAGAACGTCGAGGCGAATCTGAACAAGATTTTCGACCTGGCCACCTCGTGGCAGGCCATCCTCCTGATGTAAGTGTTTGTGTTTATTTCGCCGAGTTGGAGCCCGAGAGTGAGAGTGCGGGTTGGAACGAGCTCTGCGTGTTTGTGTCTGCTGCGTGTTTGTGTTTGTGTTTCCGAGTCCGAGAGGAAGAGTGCCGGTAGCCCCAGCTCAACGTGTTTGTGTTTGCCATAGTGACGAGGCCGACGTCTTCCTTGAAAGTCGAGGGCAAGGAGTTGCTTCCAACACGGAAAGAAACGCCTTGGTGTCCGGTAAGTGCGGGCGTGCATGCCTATCCGTCCTTGTTCCACGCAATCTTCTGACGGCGACAGTGTTTCTTCGAGTACTTGAATATTACCAAGGTAAGTTCGAATCCAGCTCCAGGCCCATCCATTCAGGTCGAGGTTACAGAGTACTGTAATTGTAATCCCCTGTGCAGTGTGGCATGTGGCATGTGCAATGTTTCATGAAGGATTGAGAGGTTAATCCTGTGTTTGTCTCGGAACTTACAGGAATCCTAATGCTCACGACCAACCAAATCGCCAAATTCGACGTGGCGGTGCAATCCCGCATCCACGTGGCGTTCAAATACATCAGCCTGAACGAGGAGCAGACGATGGCTATCTTCGAGGGCTTCTTGGGCCCACTGGCCAAGAAGGGCCTGGTGAAGAACTGGGAGGACGTCAAAGAATGGCTGGAGGAGGACGTGGTCAAGATGGGCTTTGACGGCCGGCAGATTCGGAACATTGTCACCAGCGCGCTGGGACTGGCCAGGGCGCAGCGAAAGAGCAGGCTGGACAAGAGCGATCTCAAACTGGTCATGAACAATGTCAAGGACTTCAAGGACGAATTCATCAAACAGTTTGAGAAATATAAGACCGAACAGGCCGGTGGGAGAGATGCGCTGATGTGAGGGCGTTCCAGGTCGAAAGCTATGGTTGGATGCCAACACGGCGGCGCCGACCATGTGTGTCCAGATTCAGAGGAGGACCAGATTATGATATTTGCGAGCCGCACTCCAGTTGAGAGGTTCCTCCGTCACCCTGAGCGCTTCCGGCTCGGGATCTCACCTTTTCCCGATTTAGGGGCTTCGTGGGGCGATGGCGACGGTGATATCACCGGTCGTATCGTCCATGGCTCGCTACAATCGCTCCAGAGAGTATGGCTTTCGAGATGGCTCGGAGACACCTGTAAGGAAGTCATATTAGCTCGAGCGCGTAGTATAATTGCTTAGGTTATCCTTGCCCTGCGGCATATTCGTCATCGAGGTGTGATTGGCGTCTTGGGGTTGCGAGAAGCAGTTCACAATCAGTCCTTTCTTTACACCCTTGGGTTTGTAGCATTTGACACACACCACGCAGTACCTAACAGGGACAAGGGACGCATCCTCACAACCAGGACAGGAGAACATCTTCAACTTGTCGTAAACCATGGCTGCCGCTGGAAACGTTACCTGCTAGACATGCATTGCTGGCTCCCGAAGTAGTATGAAGCGGATCGGCTGTGGCAGAGAGGTCCAGAGTGCCTGGGCTCGTTGCTAGAGGGGATAATAGAGACAAGCACGCAGCTTCGCTCTTCTTCCAAGCAGACCCGTCTGCCAGCATCCACGTGCTTGATAAAGAAGTCCAGCGGACCGGCTCCAAATACCGGACAAAAGAATTGTTGGCCAAGCCAGCCACTTGTGTTGGACAGCTGAGCGATGCCAATCTGATGCAGCGAAATAAACCTAGCACGCCCTTGTAGTTTCCAGCACGTCGTCGATAAGACTGCTGTATCTCTTTCCCCACCGTCTACTGAGCTCCCCAATCCTTTAGTGATCCTCATCCACCTGAGACGCGGCACACGCACCGGTGAGCACGGGTACTCACTTGGTGAAGGATATTCGTTTCGGCTTCATTGGCTTCCTCGTATGTGATCTCTTTGTGCAGAAGGGACCGAGAGCGTATCATGGACATTCGGCCGCATAGCCAAGGTGAAATAGAAAATTCCGCGGTTCGAGGTGTGATTGTACAAACTCATTTTATCAGAAGACGTAGTCCGTTGTTGACTGAAGTGCGCAGGCAGTCCTGGCGAGCATGCGATCATCACCTGCTGAGACTTGACCAATCGCCCGGGCGGGCATGTCCTAAGGGTAAAGTCAAGGGGTTACTGTACTCCGTACCTCGGAATTTTTGGGTAAAGTTTAGATAGACCCCGGGTAGACTCCGGGTAGAGCCTAGGGAGAACTTCGGTAGAGCCTAAGGAGGCCTTAGCCCCTGAGACAAGGGGCTTAGGCGCTTAGCTCTTGAGCCTGAGGGCGGAAGGCCTAAGGCCTAGGGACCCCCACGACGGGTGAGTGGCGGGTACCGGCTCACCTGACTCGCGAGCCGGGGACTCCTTAGGCCCCTAAGCCTCCTGCTGTAAGACCGGGGGTGAGCCGCGAGCAGATGTCACTTCCCTTGGCGCACTTGAGGCTGCCACGTTCTTCCACTGGTGCACAGGCAGGCTTGATTCCCCCGAGATGCTTTGTACAATACAGAGAGATTCGATCAATTATACTTTGTCACGGAGCCTGGCTACCTACCTGTAGGGTACCCACTGCCCGCGCCCCGAGACCGCGACCGAGACGTAACTACTCGCCATGTGCGCTACCTTCAAGCACAAGCACACCTTCTCGAGCAACAATACGCGCAAAATCAATTCCCTGAAGTCGAGAAGTTGTCCCTGGGCGAACTGATGCGTGGTTGCTGGTATGGCACTATCATTTTTATGGAAGAGGTAGTCCGAGTCCTCGAAGCGGCCGTGGACGCTGTGGACATGGTGGACTCAGGATGAATCTGGGAAAACCGTTTCAAAGGCAGGAGTATTCAAAGAAACATGAAACGAAACCCGGAATCGGACAAGGTTTGGAGAGGTCAAGCAGTGGTATTTTCAGGTTCATGGGTGACATGACTCACCGTCGGATGAGCAGTGTACGGACCAGTACAAACACCCCGGACACAAAGATCTCTTGCGCGCGGGGTAAGATTCAGCAACTTCAACCTCGTCCTACTACGACTGGCAAGATATTGGGCTTAGTAGTATCTGTATGTGCTACTATCTCAAGAAAAAGACAGCCAATATCGACCTAGCTATTGTTTGCTTGCATGTCCATCATGGCCGACGACATAGAGACGAGCTTCCAGGCGGCCATCGATGCTGGCAAGATCAACGGAGCCGTCATCTGCGCCACCGACGCTGATGGCCGCTTCGTCTACGACAAGGCACTCGGAGAGCGAACGCTGCTCTCGGGAGAGAAGCGGCCGCAGCGGCTCGACGACGTGCTGTTCCTGGCCTCAGCCACCAAGCTGATGGCCACCATCGCTGCCCTGCAGTGCGTCGAGGACGGCCTGTTGACCCTGACTGGCGGTCTGTCGTCCTCCATCGCCCCCGAGCTCGCCGAGAGGCAGGTGATTACTGGATTCTCGGATGATGGCGAAACTCCGCTACTGGAACCGCCCGTCCGGACCATCACTCTCGAGATGCTGCTCACGCACAGCTCTGGTCTTAGCTACCACTTTATCAACCCTCTGGTCGATCGGTGGAGCCAGAAGTTCAACTCTCCACAAGAAGGCAGACGGCGGCCGGTTGAGGAGGCCTTCTGCTACCCTCTCGCCTTCCAGCCCGGTGCCAGCTGGATGTACGGTCCTGGGCTCGACTGGGCCGGCCGTATAGTAGAGCGGGTGACGGGTGGCACGCTTGGCGAGCACATGCAGAAGCGCATCTTCGACCCTCTCGGCATCACCGACGCCCAATTCAGCCCGGTCTTGCGAGAGGATCTACGCGCCCGCCTAGTCGATCTCAACCCGGATGACCCTGAAGCCCTCGGCCTCGCTGTACTGGGCGGCTCAGGCGACATGAACAAGCGCTCGCGCGGAGACTTTGGAGGCCACGGTCTGTTCATGACCGGCGCCGACTACGTCAAGGTGCTACGCTCGCTGCTGGCTAACGACGGCAAGGTTCTCAAGCCCGCGACCGTCGACGACATGTTTGAGCACCATCTCAGCCCCGAAGCGACCACGGGGCATCAGGCTGCGCTGGCCAGTCCTATCGGTGTTTCTTTCCGGGTAGGCACCGACCCTGGAACAAAGGTGGGCCACGGTCTGGGCGGCCTGCTTACGCTGGAGGATGTCGACGGCTGGTACGGCGAGCGCACACTAACCTGGGGCGGCGGCGTGTCGCTGGCCTGGTTCATCGATCGAAAGAACGGCCTGTGCGGCATCGGCGCCGTCCAACCCTCGCTGCCGGTCGACATCAAACTGGTGGGCGACCTGAAGCAGACCTTCCGCCGGGACATCTACCGTAAGCACGCCGCATGGATGGTGCAGGCGCAAACATGATGTTGGAACAGAAGCATAGCGCAACTCTGGCGTCAATAGCTAAATTGGAGGAAGCCGTTTCCAAGCAGCTCACCGCCGCTAGACAACACTGCCAGAATGTGGCCATGAGAGCGAGAGTATGCCTAGTGGGACAGATTCTAGCAAGTCTGGATATGCTTATGACAGAAGTATCCTACTGAAAAGCCAGACGTACTATGACTCAAGGGTTGGCGGAAGTGGCAGCCAACATGCCAGCCTCGCGAACGGACGCAGAATCAGAGCCAGAGCTAGAGCCAGAGCCTAGTCGAGGACAGAATATGACATTGTGATTTATTCTAGGCAACAGACAGCTGGATCCCAAACTTACCAGTCAGGTACGGATTCATATACCGCTACTGCACTGGGTACGTATTTAGCTTTCTGGGGCACGGACCCCAGAAGCCAGGACCCTGGACGAGATTCATCCATCACTATCACGCTTTCACTATAGTCGATGACGAAGACTCGGAGACTGGAGGCACGAGGGGCATTTCACCCCCTCCTGGGGAGATGGTCTCCGTCGTCTCCGTACGGCTACCCCGTACTACATAGGACCTTCCTCCCCCCCGCGGCCAGTGTGTCAACGTCAACGTCAACCTCAGCCTTCTCACCACACGTCGACTCTGACTCTATTCTGCACGGTTGGGCCGGTGTCGTCCCAGTCCCCACCTGCGTTCCACAACCAGCAACACCCAAGTCGTGCTCTGTGACACACGTACTATCGTGTACACCAAAGGACGAATTCAATAGACTTGTATCCCATCAGTCCAAGAGTGCTTCCTGGAAAGTTCAATCCTGCGAGCATCTTATCCTGGGACCAACAAACAACCAAACAAGGGTTTCCATCCTTTCATCGCATCAAATGTCTCAAGAATTCGATATCAAGCCCGAGCTCGGCCTCGCCGTCGGCCGATTCCTGTATTCCCAATTCTTCCGCACGCCGCCGCCTCCATCCCAGTCATTCGCCAACCAGACGGTCATCGTGACGGGGTCCAACGTCGGCCTGGGCTTCGAAGCCGCCCGTCACTTCTACCGACTCAACTGCGCCCAGCTGATTCTGGCCGTGCGCAGCGTGTCCAAAGGCGAAACGGCCAAAGAGGACATTGTGCGCAGCGTCAAACATCGCACCGACGCCGACGCCATCCAAGTCTGGCCCTTGGACCTGTCCAGCACCGAATCGACGCTGGCGTTCGCGGACCGCGTCAAGACCGAACTACCGCGCGTGGACGTTGTGGTCGAGAACGCCGGCATCAACAACACCACATGGGTCGCTGTCGAGAATGGCTGGGAGCAGACCATCCAGGTCAATGTCATCAACACCCTCCTGCTCGCCCTGGCACTGCTGCCTAAGCTGGCACAGACGAAGTCCGAGTTTCCTGATTCAATCCCGCATCTGGCCATCGTCAGTTCTGAGGTCCATCACTTCACGAAGTTCGTCGAAGCCAATGCTCCGGATATCTACGCCCGGTTAAACGACGAGAAGGCCTTCAACGGCGGCGATAGGTGAGTTGATGCTTTGGCGCCTTACACGTTCACATGTTATCCACCTCTCGATGGCTGTTGTTGGTGTCGTGAATGGGAACGAGTCTGCCATTCCTGCTCTCGTCCACCCAAGCAAAAGACTGGCGCTCCCATCCATTCTTCAATTCAACCTTGATTTCGCTGTTCCTTTTGCTTTGCTTTGGTTTCACCATCACTTTCGCTTTTCTCAGACCCCTACGTAGACCCACCAACACCTATGCACATAACGCCGCGTCAAACCACTCTAGTGACCTGTCAGCAAGCAAGCAAGATACTGACACCATACCATCTGCGGTTCAGATACAACGTCAGCAAACTCCTCGAGGTCCTTTTTGTGCGAGAACTTGTCGCCCGCCTCAACACCGCTGCTACCAACCACTCAACCTCGACCTCTGCCCCGACCACTTCCACTTCCACTTCCCCCGTCGTCATCACTCTAGTCAACCCAGGCCTATGCGTCTCCCAGCTCGACCGCGACCTGCCTCGCCCGCTGCAGCTGGTGCTTGGTCTCTTGCGCCTTCTCGTCGGCCGGTCCACCGAAGTCGGCTCCCGCACGTTCGTCCACGCCGCCTCGGCCGGCCCGGCCAGCCACGGCCAGTTCATGTCCGACGGCCAGAACCAGGACGTCGAGAGCTGGATCTACTCGGACACAGGGCGCCAGGTGCAGAAGAAGGTGTTTGACCAGACCCTCAAAGTGCTGGAGACGAGGAGGCCGGGTTTGGCTGAGAGTGTTGGTTTGACTGTTCGGGTGTGAATCCCTTTGAATCCCTTAGAATCCCCCTTAGGGACCCTCCCTACTTTAGCTACAGTACCTGCTTCGTACTTGTGTGTAATCCATCTGTCTACCAGCCATGCTACTATCTAGTCGATACCGAGTCCTAAGTACTCTTCTTATATCCCCGTTAGGGTCACCCTTAGGGACCCTCCCTACTTTAGCTATAGTACCTCCTTCCTCCTTCCTACTTGTAACGGTATGTAAGTTGTAGTAGTGGTAGTACCTCCTTTTTCCCTCCCTACCTTAGCTACAGTATCTCCTTCGTACTTGTGTGTAATTAATCTGTCTACCAGCTATACTACTACCTGGTCGATACCGAGTCCTAAGTACTCTTCTTATGTCCCTCTGGACCTCCTACTTTAGCTACAGTACCTCCTTCCTATCTAGCTTGTATACCGGATAAGTTGTAGTAGTGGTAGTACCTCCTTTATCCCTCCCCTTCCTCCCAAAGACTTGTCTCTATTAAAACTTAGGCGTATTCTTAGTCTTAGCCCTGTTCTTCAACTAGAGAGGCTGGTTTATATAGGCTATACTATACTATACTATACTATATAGTATACGCCCCTTAGCTCCGCCTGCGACCCGTTGACCCGTTGATAGACCATATAGAACATTTCAACCTTCATTCGACAGTGTCATGCGGTAGTGCTAGTTCTTTTATAATCCAATTGCTTGCAGAGTAATACCTAGTTCCTCCTGGTCTAGCATCATTTTGTCTATGTATCAGTGGTATATTCATCTTCATGTCCAAGTCCATTTATCCCCCCTGATATCTGATATCTAATATCCGATATCTGGCATTGAAATTCGTCTTCACGTGTGACCCCCTCTCACACACGTCTGTTAAGCGAGCTGCGACTTCGCCTCCTCTTGCCCACACCTGGCCTTTGCACTTCACTGTGGCTCATCCGCCTTGCCTGCGGAGAATTTCCTCGAGCTTGATCGCTGCCCCGCGCAGACGCCGCATTGTGGATCTCGTTCTCGTTCTCGGCCATCTTCGGATTCGCGCGTGTGCTTTGTAACTCGTAGCTCTCGCCTCTTTCCAAAGTATCGTCAACGACTGCGATCTCGTCGTTCTCATCCGGCGGACTGGAGTTGGGCGTCGCGGATTCACTCGCGCCGTAATACGCGCCGCCAACGCTCTCCATGACAAACGCTCCGGCAGTAGGCGCGTCCAGGGCCCTGAGCTCCTCGTCACGGAACCATTTTGGCATCAGCCAGGTGCGTACAGGAATCAGCAGCAGAATGATCACGGGAAACCCAATGGCCGCAATGGTCTGGGAGATGGCGAACGTCGCGCCGAACCCGATGAGTTCCAGCGCCACAAAGACCCAAATGGCCAGTCGGCGATCGATCCGTGCCAAAGGGTCACTGGCGTCAGTGAGTTCCTTGTCACGTGCCAGAAACAGCATTTTTTGTGTGATGCCGTTGCCCACTAGAGCTTGGGCGCCCATGACGAAGAACAGGCCGGCCAAAACCCCCTGCGGAATAAGGTGCAGGACCACAAGGAGCGGTCCGGTCATGGTGACGACGAAGAGCAGGCCTTGCGCGAGATTGCTGACGCGCTGTTCGACCACGTGGTCCGTTACGCGGACAATGTGGCCTCTTGCTTTCTCGTCCACCACTTGTCTGGTGACGCAGAGCGAGTTGGTGTGGAACGGAGCTTGTGGGATAAGGCCGTTGGGAAAGGGAATCCCCAGCAAGCCCGCAATCCCGGTAGTCAACCCGAGTAGGAAGATATCCCAGTGAAAGCCCGGCGGTTTGCGAAGCGGAAACTCCGTCCCTTGGGCAATGAGCGAGGAAACTGGTCAGAGAATGTCAGTACCTCCCTCTATCCAAGGTTGGTGGGTACACACCGTTATGGTCAAACCAGAATAGGATGGTCAGAAGAATGGCAAATGGAATAGCAAGGAAGACATCGCCGACGCTGATATCCCAGAAATGCACAAACCAACCACGGTCTGCAGTGGGGAAGAAAGCCTTGCTGGTAGGCAACGTCTCGAGGTGGACGTCCCTCATGTGCCCGATATGGACGAAGCCCGTAAAAAAGACTATGGTCAGGGGAGTACCGTAATCCTCGATCAATTTTCTCACATGGCGTTGGAGCAAATTACTGTTCCCTAGGATCCCACAGCCGTAGGCGAAGCCCAGCACGAGGAGACTGACCATGATGGAGAGATATGCACTCTCGGCGCCGGCCAGGCCCCATTGTCTCGTCAAGACCTGTATCCCCTTCTGCAGGTAAATGAAGGCGACGTAGAAGCCAAACGTGTCACAGCTGAAACGAGTGACATAGGTCAAGGCGTTACAGCTGTTGGCGATGGCCAGAAGCCAATGCATGGCGAGTGACCAAATGCCGATCCAGGTCATAAAGGAGAAGAAGTTGGTGCCTCGCGGGACCACAATGTCGTAGACAGTGTAGGAAAACACGGTGATGGGACCAGTGACGCCGACAATGACCAAGGGTTGAGCGGCAAACACAGAAAATACCACACAGCCCAAGACGGAGGACAGCAGCACTTCGTTGACGCCGTATGAATTGTGGGTTTTGGTGAACATGTCGAGCGAAAAGGCTAGCGCTGGGAGGATACTGGAGACGTGGTCAGTCGCCAGTCATGTAGACTCTAGAACGGGTTTGATGTTGGGCAGATTTTGACACGTTGGACCAAGAAGGGCAAGGCTTTCCACTGTGTGACGAATATTATTGATATGGGCTGTCATACTTTGCAAAATACATATACACCGTGGCAGGGACGACTCTATAATCCCATGCATCTTTCCAATCGCTCCAGTAGTACGGCGCCCTCCTCTTGACGTCGTCGACCATTCCCTTGAACCAACGGATCTTGTACCATTTCGGCTCGTGTCGATGCGAAGATCTCGTCGTCTGGCGCGAGACGTGGTAGGAGAGACGCTGGATCTCCTCGGGATCGGGACGAGAGTGATTCGAGTGGAACGAAGGCCGGCGTGAGTGTTGCCACGGCTTCCTCTGGGTAGAGTGGGACGAGGAGCGTCGGCGTACGCCAGCAGGTCCGGAGCTAGAGGAAGCAGGGGCAACGAGCTCAGTGCGGGTGGCCATGATTTCCCTTCTCTTCTGTGCTCAGCGCAAGGATGCAAGCCACAGGCGGAGGGAGGGACATCAAATATCACGACTCGACAAGCGATAGGAGATGGATAGGATCGGTGAGACGGAGAGAAGAGAGTCTGGCCATTCCTTCGAAGCCGGGACCTGGAGATGCCTCTGCTTGAGTCCAAGCCGAGGATTTGTACAAGATGAAAGAAGATGAACACGCGAAAGATGAGTGACCATGCGCTAGTAGGAACGCAGTTTGATGAAGAGCAGGTATAGCAGGTTTGGCAATTATATTGTCTGACAAAGAACGATCCGCCTCTGATATTGGAGCTCTTCGGCAAGGGAAGGCCTTAGGCCCTTGTCAGACAAGTCAATTTACTCTCTCGGCACTACCCCGCACCACTGACTGAATGCAGTGCTGACGCCCAATGATATACGATACATACCGCATACGGAGGAGCACTAATACACTACTACCGAGTATTAGGACACTACAGGCAACGTCCAGATTACTCATCATCTGATATCAATCGTGAATCATCGGCCGTCCACGATCCACGCTACTGTATCACGCAAGGTCTGCTCGTGCTTTAAGGAGCCGACTGTGGCTGTAACGTAAGTGCTCAATTCACATTGTCTCATCTGCAAATGTCCCATCGCCTCGCCCAACACACCCAGCACATATCCAGCACCACGAACATGGCCGACGTCAAGCGCCCCGGCATCACGCTGTACACCGATGGGACACCTAACGGGTTCAAGATATCGATTGCGCTCGAGGAACTCGGACTGCCCTACAAGGTCGAGCACGTTAATATCTCGACAAACCGGCAAAAGGAGCCATGGTTTCTGGAGATCAACCCGAATGGCCGCATTCCCGCCATCACCGACACATTTGCCGACGGGAAGAAGATCCGGCTGTTTGAGTCCGGCAGCATCCTACAGTACCTGGTCGAGCAGTACGACTCCGAGCACAAGATCAGCTACCCGGCCGGCTCGCGCGAGCATTACGAGACCAACAACTGGCTGTTCTTCCAGAATGCCGGGCTAGGCCCGATGCAGGGTCAGGCGCACCATTTTGTGCGGTACGCCCCCGAGAAGATTGAATATGCCATCAACCGCTACGTCAACGAGACCAGAAGGTTGTACGGCGTGTTGGACAAGCATCTCCAAACCTCACAGTCGGGATACCTCGTGGGCGACCACATCTCGATAGCCGACATTACGACGATCGGATGGGTCATCTACGCTGGATGGGCAAACGTCGACATTGCCGAGTTCCCGGCCCTGAAGCAATGGGAGGAGATGATGTATGCGAGGCCAGGTGTCAAGCAAGGCTGTGATGTGCCCAAGCCTCTCAAGATCAAGGCGTTGTTGAATGACAAGGATCTGATGGAGCGGAAGGCCCAAGAGGGTAGAAAATGGATTGTGCAGGGCATGGAAGAAGACAAGAAGAAGTAGATTGGATGCCAGAGATGAGCGTCGCAGTGACCGATATAGGACAATGGACGATACGTTGCCTACTAGCTGAGTGTCTCTGCACTCTGGCCAGCAGGAGACAGCCACGTTACGAGGACGGGCGCTCGCTCAACTTGAACCGTGTCGAATGCTGCGTGTCAGGTCAGTGCCAGTGGCCAGTGCCAGTCACCTCCAGTGAAAGACCAGGGCAAGTCACATGCCCCAAGTCACACATCACATGACCTACGGTCACGTGCTCCCACCCAGCTTGCTCGGCCCCTTTAATGACGTTGACGTGCACCTAGTGTGTGCCGCCCCAGATTCGTTCCGTGAGTGAGATGAATGAGACGTGAGACGAGACTCCTGCCAGCAATTTACTCTGTATCCGTCCTCGTGCTCCGTATTTTGCGAGAGACACTGGCTGGTGAATATCGGGCACGATAAGGAAGAAGCTGGTCCTTAAGGACCTTACCTACGGCCTACTATGGCGCCGGGTCCGATCAAGCTCGGTTCGCTCCGCCCGACTGCATGTACATATGTACTCTACTCCGTACTCCGGACTTTGTACGAGTACGGAGTATAGAGGTGCGACCAGACGTCATCGTCGCTGTGTCCCTGGCTGGTAAATTTCCCACTCCTCATGGCAGGAAAACAAGTCCGCTCCGAAGCTCGATCTTGACTGGCTCGCGCTCGTGGGGCACAGGGCCGGTCGGACGACTTGTGACGCAGCCCCGTCTCGATCTCAGCATCATCACATAAGACAGGGTCTGAGCCAACTTTGACCACGGCCGTCTAGTTGCAGTGGCCATCCCCATGTTGTTCACTGCTCCTGATGCACGAACACGGTCAGGGATGGTTTGACCAGCATCCCAATATGTCTTGGACCTCGTTGCGGTCTGTAGTCCCAACAACCAACTCGGAGTATGGGCAGAGCTTCCTGTCGGATTCTCCACCAGACTCGCGCGGGCGGAAGAAGGAGAGTGTCGCGTGTTTCGCCTGCAAAAGGCGCCGGTCCAAGGTTCGCTCCTCTCCCTCGCTCTCCCCTTCTCACTCTCCCTCTCCCTCTCCCTGTGGCATGCAAAAGTGCCCGACTGACCGTGCAGTGTGACGCTGGCATCCCCTGCATTTCCTGCATTTCTCACAACACCGAGTGTGTCAAGGATCAAAACGACGACGGGCGGCGGAAACTGGCCGTCAAGCGCAAGATTGATGTGCTGGAGTCGGACCGGCACCTGCTGGACGAGTTACTGGCCGCGATCCGCACCGCCACGCCCGGCCAGTTAACAACAGTCATCAGCCTGATCCAGAGCAGCGCTAGCAGACAGGACCTCCATTCGTATATTGAAACCCAGCTTTACGGACACAACAACAATTCATTGCGACTTGACGAGGCATATCGACACAAGGTTCGGCGCACCCGTCGACGGATGCTCGGCCGGATCCAAGACGTTGTCAATCCTCCGATATCCGTGCCTGCCAAGCCATGGACGACGGTGACTGACGACGATGACTTTGTTTCACATCTCATCTCGCTATGGTGTACGTGGGCCCATCCGTGGTGGCACTGGGTCGATGTCGACCTTTTTCTCGAGGCGATGCGGTCAGGAGATACTACCAGTCTCATCTGTACGCCGTATCTGGTCAATATGATTTTGGCCGATGCATGTGTGAGTCACGACGCCGTCGTCGATGTTGAGCCATGTCTGACGAGCAGCCGGTCTAGCTACTAGACACACTGGGCGAAGACGGCTCCGAGCCAAATGAGTGGATCCGGAGACAGTTCTACGATGAAGCGAAAAAGGGAATCGAGGCTGAGAATGGCCACGTGTCGCTGGCATATGTCGCGGCTCTGGGGGTCCAGTGGACCTAGTAAGTCGTCCTTCCCTCACTGTTCTTAAGCAACAGTTGTAGGGACAGCCATGGTTCGCTGCCAACTCGCTGACCAAATCATTCTTTACCAGTCTCAACACTAATGGTCAAGAATTACTTGGCAATGCCCTCCTCCACGAGCAACTGTATCGTACAAAGGGGCTGGACAAGTGGCGGCAGAGGATTGAGCGGACTGGCAATCTTGGACCAGCACGATTGAGCAAGATTGACCGATGCCTCGACAGACTCTTGTGGAGTCTCTACACTCTCAATTCGTGCGCTTTGATGAACTTGGAAAGGACGAGGCTCCTGAAACCACCCACTCGACCGAAGCCGCCTGCCGACCACGACCGAAAGGAGCATCCTGGTTGGACGCCGTATCCGCAGCCGCATAGCCCGGTCGTCTTCCATCCAGACTGCCATTTTCTAAGTTTCGTCTCGCTGATCGAGGAGGCAACTCGGGTGGAGACGTTGTTTACGGACCAGTTCAAAAAGGAGTCGGCGCAAAGCCTGGAAGAACTCGAAAATAACTGTCGCCAACTAAGCGACTGGCCCAAAACACTGCCCGACTGTATGAAGATGCACGACAAAGCGATGCCGCATGTGATTGCTTTGCAGTGAGTACCCTGTACCCTGTACCCTAGTTGCTCTGACCCGACTCGATTACGTTACGCCATCCGAGCCCTATCCGCTTACGCTCTACCCCTTTCACTTTCCCCAAGGTGCTACCCCTTTCCCTTTCCCCAAGGTGCTAGAGATGGACCTTTCCTCAAAGTGCTAGAAATGGACATGGTCCCATGCTAAACGAGAACAGGGCGATGCACCGCTGGGTGGTTGTCATGATGGCCAAGCAAATCGCCGCTCTTGAGGCGGGCAAACTGAAACGGCCCTCTTTGGTGGAGACGCCGCAGACGAACGAGCCGAGCCCATGGAAAGAGACGTCGATATCGTCATGCATCGAGATTGGCGAACTCGTCGAACAGATCCGCCTGAACTGGGGCGCCGACCACTTCCCCGTCATCATCATGCAACCCATGGCCACGGCGGTGTTTCCGCTGCTCGAAGGCCTCGATGAACGACCGGATTCGCAGAAGGCACTGTTCAATCTCTGTGTGACGGTGCGCGCGGCCAGCCGGAGGTTTCGCGTGGCCAAGGGCGTGCTGCTTCTGCTGCAGCAAACCGCCAACCAGAACAATGTCGTGCTGCCGGACAATTGTCAGCAGTTGTTGGCGGATTTTGCCGCCCGGATGGATTTCAATCGCCACATCTCCGATCCCTCTGACATTGGGATGGAGTACTTGCTGGAGAAATGGGAGGATCTGGATCTGCAAGAGGTATAGAAAGGAGAAAGGCAGGCGCAGGCCTGGGCGTCGAGGAGTCATGCAGAGCGGGCGCAGGGCTCAGCCATCTATCTATCTGCACCGATATCCATCGACCGCAATGCAATGAACCATTTCGAAATCTTGAGGTTTGGAAACTTCCGCTCCTGAAATCCGTGGGCTTCAGTAGTCCCGGATGGAACTGAGAGAGGTGAGAAGGCGGCTGATCTTGCGGCGACACCAGCCTTGCTGCAGGCTGCATAGACGGCAGGGAAGGCCTTTTGAGAGCGATGCAATGGGTTAGGAGCATTGGAGGGATTTCATCTTACTAGTCCACGTGTTTGATTGCGCTTATCTTGTTTTTCCAGGCTTGTAGCGAAGCTGGTCCCCCGAGCAGACGGCGAGACTAGACTGGCCTCTCAGCGGGGGCACAAGTACCTAAGCCTTGCTTGTTCCTGTGCGTCGCTGAGATCATCCTTTCTAGGTGCCTGGTTCAGACGAACGTGGGAACCAGGCAGACTGCCTGTCCTTACGTTGTCGCCGAAACTACAATACGTACAAAGTAGTGTTCCTAAGTCTACCCCCAGGCATCTCAGCCTTGCATCTAGCCCGACTTAGGTAATGCACCGCTGCTTCGTAGATCCCTGTTCTGCCTATTACCAGGCAGTTCCTCTCGCGCTCATCAAAGTACGGCGGACAGCAGAACTGATCGATCAGAGCTACCTGCATCGCCATCAGCTAGTTACCTGACCATGATATTTGATAGTCTGGTCCCGCGTCATCATGCCACAGCCTACAGCACGTGATCTAGACGTCAAGAGCTTCTGTACCGCTTAGGTGCGCCCGTACCATCCATCACACCCATCCTTGACCGGAATTCTCTCCTACGGTAGGCAGATAGGTACCTGACAGTGGTCGAAACATCAGACGACATCAAATGATCCGCTGATGCCCAGCGCAGGACGAGTTGCTGCCCTCTTAGCTCTGTTCATCGTAGTAGTACCAGGTCTTCAATCAGGGATCCACGCCTTCCGGTTTGGATTCTGGCATGGAACTGTCTCTGTTACTTCCCTGCATACAGAAATGACGTTTGTTGTGATGGGCCAAACCGCCGAGCGAGGAAGGGACATTGTTTGGAAAGAGCGGCTTCGTTGCATCCAACTCATTTAAATATGCAGCTGACTGGAACTCAACCCTTCTCTTCTCTTCTCCCATGTCCGACTTCGACAATTTTCGGCACCTTTTGTTCTCTTCTTGCTACCATAAATCGAGTATCCATTGTCGCAACCCTGATCTCCAGCTTCTTTGACAGTTTCAGCACCTTTTTCTTCTCTTTTGGATTGCATATCTCTTGTCGCTGCCCTCATCTCCAGCTTCTTTGACAGTTCCGGCACCCCTTTTGTCTCCTCTACCATGGACAGATTGTCAATTGCAGCAACCATCACAATCCTTCTTTTCTCTTCTCCTAAGACCGACTTCATTGACAGTACGGCATTCTTCTTGTATGATGAACAGATTGTCGATTGCAGCAACCATCACAATCCTTCTCTTCTCTTCTCCCAAGTCCGACTTCGTTAAGTTCCGGCACTATTCTTCTGCACGATGGATCGAGTTTCTGTTATTGCGACCCTTATCTCCGGCTTTCTGCCTGGTTGGGTGCACCGCCTAGCCAGGCACGCACAATCAGTACCTTTGGTGAGTACAGTCTTGTGGTGGATCTCCCCACAAGACTGTACTCGCCCCCGGAGCCCGAACAGGAATCCGACCCTGTGGCTGTTCCTGCTCCTGCCCCTGCACCTCTGATCGTCCATCTTTCGGACGAGTCTGTCGCCAAAATCCAGGGTGCCATTGAGGCGGCCTTGAACAAGAGCTTGGCACCAGTGAAGGCCAAGCAGGCTGAGATCCTCGAGGCTTTCAACCGACTTGGCCGGATCAACGCCGAGCGATCGTTCACGGTCTCCTTGCATGGCGAAGTTGTGAGAGATGCTAACTGAGCTATAGGTCGAGGTGGGCGGGTGGGACACCAGCGCGGGCTCGCACTTTTACGCAGTGCTGGTGATAAGTAGCTCCCAGAGTGAAACTAAGCCGAGCCCAACTCTTGGATAATATCTCACTCCTCACTCTTCAAGCATCAAGCTGACTGATTCGCTCTAGGCTCGTCTGTTGAATCATTGTCCAAGCCAGCGACCGGGCTTCTCTGCCCACACTCTCTTGGATGTCCTCATCCCACCTCACCTCTCTTGGATGTTTGCAAGCCCCTCTTCGGGCAAGCACCTTTGAGAGTCGGATTCAAGGAGAAGGTCCAAAGGGGATGGGCCCTGGGTTTGCGGGGTTTGTACTATGTTGCCACAGAGTCAAGTTGTATCTACCACAGTCTTTCAGATAATCAGGGATGCAAGACATACCTTGGAAGCAGGCGGCATCTCGTCGTCATTCAACAGCCCTGAAGCAAGTCGAACACGAGCAAGAGACATGTGCATAACTTGAGCAACATCGTAACTCTGCACACCTTTCTGCACGCTGTTCCTGCCTTCACCGCAGTGGCATAGACTCTGTACCGCACATTGCAAGAGCAGTGCCTGGTCTTGAATTCGGGTTGGCATCCCGTCACCATTGCAAGGGCAGCGCCTGGTTTTGAATATCAGCTGGCATCCTGTCATCATTGCAGGGGACACCGTATCTGCGCAATTCACCCATAGTTCGGTCATAGTACCACTCCCACAACTGGAGCCAGCTCCAGCGGGTTCGAGGCGGATTCGGGGACCACGACCCTACGCACTCTCCTTCAACTTCTCCTTTGAAATTTCTCCAGGTTGCGAACAGGAGGATGATTGATATCAAAGGACTCATCAGACAAACGTGGGTAAGAGAAATGTGCATCCTCTGCCTTGTCCCTGTTGTCAGAGTCCCGACCTCCAAGAGACTGCCATGTCTCGACTTCAATTTGGACGTGCGTACCGCCGCCGTCCAGTTCCACCCGGACTCGCAGGTCGGTGGCGCAGCGTCCACAGCTCAACAGATCCAGGCTTCTCGTCCGATCGCCGTAATAGCCTAGCCGGAGCCGGCCAGCATATAAAATGGCCGCACCCACTCTGTTCATAGTATGACTACAGCGGGCTTCGTGATCGAATTTATAAAGTGCAGGTAAAAGTCTATCAGAGACAAATTGACTCAGGTCGAGTCGTGAAGTCAGAGGGCTCGATGGTTGAGCTAGTAATGATACCGATAGCGTATGAATACTGTGAAGTAAAAGCTTCCCTTTGACAACGCGAGCGTCAATCGTCTTGTTGATACACACGCCCTCGAGAAAAGGCGCAACGACCTCCGGCTTCGAAGTGTGATTTAGTTCTTCGAGCTGCGGACCGTATCGCGGGCCTTTGGCGAATCCTCTCAGGAAGGCGTCGACCATATTACGATATATCAGGAAGGGTCCAATGATATAGGGTTTATGGATATAGCACCAAGGTGCGTCACGCGTGGACGTATAGTCATGGCGTTTATAATCATAACAGTTAGGACACCGATACGGCAGATACCGCGATGATTTCTTCCAACGGTACAGAATATTGCAGAAGCAGCATACCATCATCTCCGGTACGTCCTCCTCGAGAAGCCGGAGGAAGCGTGCTTTTTCTGTATCGTCGTCTCGCCATTTTGGATCAAATTGGTTCAAGAGGGCTTCGTGGTGCCATTTCGAGGTCAGGCTTAGACAGGCAACAGAGCTCGTTGGCAAAAAGGAGACGATACACAGCAGAAGTTCGACTGGCAACCTCTCCAAGGTCGAGATTCGTCTGGCTTGGACTTGCACCGAGGGTGGAGGTGGACTCAGGCACACGATTCGCCGCAGTCGTGATGAGATGCGATCTTTGAGGGAGCGTAGTGCATTCATGGTGCTGTTCTAAAGGGTTGTACGTGTAAAGGATAGGTGGGATGTTGCCCTCTCTATACCCGCGGGCTGGCTCCTGAACACGATAGGGAATAAGCAGAAAAAATACCTGGTGTTATAAGTATGAGTGTCACTGAGCTTGACAAGTGTCTACATCGGGCGTTGGCTCAAATCAGGTACGAGTACCACCGCCCCATGCCAAGCCCCGCTATGATTTTCTTCCCCAGCATATCGTCGTCCTGGCAGGTCAGCCGAGGGGCCGAATGGCTGTGGGGCCGTGTGAGTGGTCCGAAGGGGCCTACTTATTATAGTACTCCGTAGTCCGTACTCCGTAGTAGTCCGTACTCCGTACTTACATATGTACATGTAGCCACCATACATCAGCAAAATGGGCAGGAATGCCAAGATGCTCTATTTGCTCTGTTTGCACAACTTGAAGCGGTGGCGGAGGGTTTGCACGGTTCAACATGCAAGTGTTTGAAATGGGCATCATTTGTTTCAACACATCATGGACGACCTGGGTAAGCCGTCGGCCTTGCGAACCTGTTGGGTAAATGGCCCTTCCACCTGCCAAACTTCTCTTTCGGACTGGACCTCGATATTTTTCAGCGACGACTTACACTCGACCACGTCCACTGTATTCACGTCTAGTTTGATATTCCCATACAAAGCTCTGTCGTCGTCTACTTCTCCTCCACCGACGACATCCTTGGACATGCTCCCTGTCTACAGACTGCGTGCACTTGGTCCAGAATGACCCGTCTTGGATTGAACGCTGAGGTTGAGACAACGCCCAGCGGATGGAGGTGCGAAATCGTGAACATTGAAATACAAAAGGAGAACAGTCACAGTCAATAAACAGACACCACTCTGGGTTACACAATCCACAGCTGCGGTAAACAGGTTCAATTGGCACTGCTGGCCACCCGGGTGAGCCGCACACAACGCTCGTGATCCTACAGCCTCGGCCGGTTGGGTGTCGTCGGTGTCTTCGGCGGTGGTCTGAGGTGTCTCGGCTATTGCTATCACCATCGTCAGCCCAATCTCGGTCCACGGCCGTCAACCCTCACACTTTCTTGAAGCTCAGTTGTTCGGTGCAGTCTTCCCCTTTTCCTTTATGCAGCCTCCGTCTGAAGGAGAAGAGGAAGTTCTACTACCTCATCTATGAGCATATAGACCTGGTCCAGAGGCGCATAGCCCATCATCTAGGCCTCCGTTCTGCTTCAGAATGTCACTTTGAAGAGCCGAAAACATGGAGACACGGGACCTTCAACTTCTGCGTCCCTGTTTCTATTATTAACGAGAGACGCCTTCTCATCCGATTCCCGCTTCCCTACCGAATTGGCGAGAAAGCCTACCCAGGGAATAGCGACGAGAAGCTCCGGTGTGAGGCTGCAACCTACGCATGGATGCAGCAAAAATGTCCAGGAGTGAAAGTTCCCACTCTCTACGGATTCGCTCTATCTACTGGTCAATCTGTACGTATAACCCTGAGTTCGAAGTAGTTCAAGGATGACCATCACTTATGAAGGCAATATAGTTCACCGCAGTTCAATACCTTCCTATCTTCCATCGTGTGGTTCATTACATCCAGTGTCGACTCCGATCCTGGCTTGGCTACCCCGTCCCCTCGAACTATGGTCAGCACAAAACCAATATTCCAAACCAAGTTGGGGGGTATTTGCTTCTGGAACATATCTATCGATGAGAAGCAAGGACAGATGCTCTCCGATACTTGGGAAGCTAGCCGGGTCAATCCCAAATTGAGAACAAACCTATATCGCGGCCTCTCCAGGGTCATGATAAGTCTTGCTCAATATTCCTTCCCTAGAATAGGATCCTTGGTCATTGACGACCATGGATTCGTCCAGTTGGAGAGCCGGCCTCTCACGCTTGATATCCATACTTCGGAGAACGAGGGAATTCCCATTCCCATGCCAAGAGATCGCACCTATCATACAGTCGATGCACATGTTAGTGATCTCTTGTTGTGTCATGACAACCGTCTACGCCACCAACCAAATGCCGTCAAGAGTATAAGTGATTGTGCTACTCAAATGTCGGCCCTTTCAGTAAAGCGCACATTACGGCCGCAATTCTTCGACCACACATCTAATCGTGGGACCCTTCGTCGTTTGCCTTACCGATATGCATCAGAGTAATATCCTTGTGGATGAGGATTGGAATGTCAAACATATCATCGACCTTGAATGGGCTGCAGTCCTCCCCTTGACCTTTATGCAGCCTCTATCTTGGCTCACCAACGAACCTGTGGATATGATCTCCCTTGACTCTTACAGCGAGCAACGTGAAGAATTCATGGCGGCCTTCGAACAGGAAGAGAGGTCTATGTCTCATTGCGAATGCATCCGATACTCTTCCGCAATGAATCGCAGCTGGGAGATTGGCACATTTTGGTATATACTTGCTTTGCAAAACCCCACTGCCCTTCATGCCATCTTCTACAACAGAATCCAGGCAGTTTTCAGCAAGGAACATTGTGACGACGAGGATTTCTATCTCGAAACTTATCCTTATTGGACGCATTGCGCGAATGATTTCATTATGATGAAAATCAAATAGAAGAAGGAGTATGATGCAAAACTTTTGGAAGCGTTCACAGATTCTACTCCCAAGCAACGAGATACAACTCTCTCATAGGTAGATTAATTGAGCCACAAGTTCGACCAGGTTATTATCCCTGTTTGGTTTGTCGGTGCTTCTAGTACCAGCTCTACAGGGTCGCACGGGTATGCCCAGAATGCAGCCTCCAGTATTTGTCTGCAGCCGATTGAGATAACGTACCTGTACTGTCCTCAGGGTGTCTGAAGGACTCGATTCTGATTATGAACAACGCACACTCCTGACCCACCGGTGCAATGTCGATGAATCCGGGGCAAACACCCCGCCTCTGTCGAACCCGAGAACAACCAAAAAAGACCACATGACCCCAAGGCTTGGGCAGTCCAAAATGACAAAAACTTTTTCCAGGAACCCCTCGAGCGGGGGTCCTGGGAAGTGAAACCTAGATTCCTAGGTTTTTTACGGTCTCAGCAACCTCGGGCGGTTGACAGCAGAAGATAATAAAAGCAAGTCAGGTAGGTATTGGTGACAATAAAGGCAGGCCAGGTATCGGGTACGGTATCGTATAAGGATTGAACTCGATCGTTCTCGCCTAGTGAATTAGGGAGTCCAGCGTTGTGTTGTACTCGTAGTGTTGGAGGCGTTCCTGTTGAACAGGTCTGCCGCTACCACTAAGCCAAAGGCTCAGTACTTCACTATTGCCAGACTCCCCTTTTCACATAGGGGTCTTTGCGTTGAGGAATAATGTCGGACTTTCAAAATATATACATTATTTTTGGGGGGAAGCTAACTTTCGTGGTTGAGATCCGGGAAGCCTCCTGCTCTTCACTGCTCTCTGGTCGGCAAATCAGAAATCGACAATAAGAATAAAAAGAGGCACAGGTGGCCCATGAAAACCTTCTCTCCCAAACCTCCCCAAAAAGAGGTATAACGACGGTTGAAATACGGGGCCGAACAGCCCCCTTAGCCCTTACTATCACATGATCACAGCCTGGCTTTAAACAACCGACGTCGAAACTGCACCTCCAGCTGCTCCTCCCAACCTCTTATTCAGAGCGACTGTCACGGACAATACTACACTTATACAAAGCACAATTCTACATCGGACCCTTCTTGCTTCCATCATACGGTCTTTCCGAATGTCTGTACGCGATACTTTGCTTGACCTCGACCTGAGCCCCATAGATTGCCTCTATAGGCTACAGCGAGACCAAAACAACGCGAGGAGAGTTCTCTACGTCAATGTGACCGATATCAGCATCCTTCCCGAAGACACCAGAACCTCGAATGACGAACTCGTTCGTGAACTGTCAAAGATCCAAGGGTGGGATGGCGATTGGAACACGGTGACAGTCTCGAAGCTCGATTCCCAGGTCCAATGCTTCTGGAACAACTTCGAGGCTCACGCGCTTCCCAAAGAGAACATATTAGGACAGTATCCGTTCTTTGACGTGCTCGACCTCCGGATAATAACGCGCAAGAAGCTGCGAGTCAAATACGTCAACAATGGCTCTGATGGGTGTCCTGTTATTTCAAGTATGCAAGATTTGGATTCGAACTGCCATGGATTGCAACGGAGATCAACGTCTACCATGATTTAGCAAGAGAGGAATCCACGCTTGCCCCGAGACTGTTGGGTTATGTCTATGAAGGACCAGAGAGAAGAGTGATTGGATATCTGCTGGAGGAAATATCTGGAAGGCCGGCTGCTTTGGTCGACTTGGAAGATTGCAAAAAGGCGCTGCGAAGGCTACATGACCTGGGCCTCGTGCATGGTGATCCGATCAGACACAACATAGTGATCACAGACTCGGGCCCCAAGTTCATTGATTTCGAGGATGCCTGTAGAAAACCCTCTGATGACTCCAAAGGCTGGAATGCCATGCGAGAGGGAGATCTCCGAAAATTGGAGAAGGGCCTCATGGATACTTCTAACAATGGTCAGCCTCGGGACTGAATGCAACTTCTTGCATCCGTTGTGGAGTAAGAGACCCTCCTCGTTCTCGTCTTTCTACCTAAGGTACCTTAGCCTGCGTGTAACTCCACAGTATCCGTGCACTCCGAGCCTAAAGCTCACTACTGCCATTGATCAACAATATGATCGACCGCCATCTTAACACGCATGCCGTGTCCATGAGAGTGATTGTCATTTAAGCCTCAGCTTTATCCTTGCAACGCGTATGTGGCCAGATAAGTCCCGCCCGCAACCACAATCCCGACGGGCCACGCTGCGACTCCAAGTGTCCCAGCCAAAGCGCCTGTCGCGCCCCAGCTTTGCAGCGTAGCAAAGATGCCCCCCGCGGGGACAGCGGCTCCATATAGAGAGGCTTGCACTCCTGCCGCGATGGAACCAGCTTTGACACCAGTCGCGCAGAAGCCGATGGCGGGGAGGACGTAGGTAGTGCCAACTGCGGCGACGGTGCCTGCGCCAGTGGCGATGGCTGAGTCGATGTTAGAGAGATGTCAAGATGATGACGGATGACGGGAGAGAGAAGTCAAGATGATGACGGATGCCGGATGACGGGAGAGACGATACCTGGACCAGCGTAGCTTTTAACTGTCCGGACCGCGTTCATTTTGACGAACAAGATGAAGAGACAAGGCAAGGCTAGCCTTATTAGAGTGTTACTGTGCTGTAGTGCGGGGCGAGGGAGAACTGATTCTGGCAATGAGGTAGCGGGATCGGTATCGATTCAAAAACGTGTCGAAGTGATTCTTTGCTGTGATGTGCAGATAAGTTGGTTCCAATTCCCAACAGCAAACATGACCATAGGCGCTGGCTACATATAGGAAGTTCGAGGGGCTGCGCTGGCAGTTCCATGCGCTGGCGGTTATATTGCTCGGCGGACTTTCCATTCATGCAGCGGCAAGAAGAGGGAATTGCTGCAGGTCGAGACAATTCGGCGGCGCTTAGGACGCCAGCCCCAAAGGGTGGACGTCGCAACAGCGAGCGCCCCAGCGGGTACGAGTACACAAGAGCCGTCCCATAGCTTAGGTGGCATAGGGTGGGGGCCATTTGAAGCCTAAGCCCCCACCACAGGTGAATCGCGGGGGAGCACAGGGCGGTTTAGGCATCACCCTAAGATGGGCACTCACCTGATAATGAGCCGCCCACCTACAGTAAGTCGGACCACCTCGTAATGCACAACCGTTCATCATACCCACCAACACGCGTACACGTAACTGCCACTTTAAGCAACTCGTTCTCAACCAACTACTCGTATAGTATATATCTTTCTCCAACCATCTCAATATGCCTGTTGTATCCGAGCAAACCCTACAGGACGCGATTAGCGCGTACGAACGTGGCCAATACCCTTCTCTTAACGCCGTCGCCACCGCATTCAAAGTCAGCCGCCATACCTTGACGCGACGATTAAGAGGAGGAAATACTCGCAAACAAGCCCGAGAGGCGCAACAGGTCTTATCCCATACGCAAGAGCAACTCCTCGTACGATGGATCACCGACCTCGACGCCGCCGGAGCCTCGCCTTCCTTCACGCAGATTCGAGAGTACGCAGAACTGATTTCGCTGGCCTCTGGAGGACCTCCTTCAGTAGGCCATAACTGGATCCAACGCTTCCTTAAGCGTCAACCGGACGTACGATCTAAGGTGAATACTAGGAAGCGAGCGGATTTCACTTCCCTGGGCGCCGAGAGCGACCTCCATCAGGCAGACTCGGACCAAGTGAAAAGAGGTGAAGCTTGAAGGACGGCGGAGGTGAGCCCCTGGGGGCAAGCATTATAAAAGGCATTACTCGGTAGCCTTCGACCTTGCAAGCTGGCATGCTGACCTTAATGGTGGTCGCAGCTCGACTTATTAAACCAGCAGCCTCGAATTACATCATGTACATATCTTCTCCATCAGCATTCAACGAGGAGAGACAAAGATATCCCTTGCTGCGACAGTCCCAACTGACTGTTCCAGCACAGCCCTGGCCACACGGAAGTGTTCAAAGGCCCCAAGTTGCTGAACGTCAGTCTGCTTTCCACGTCATATATCTGGGCAGCAAGGGTTGGTGGACACCAGGGTCATTGCCGAACCTTAGACGCCGGACGGGGGCATGATCGTGTCATGCAGAGGTTGACATCAGCAATCAGTTTCGCATCCGTGATTGTCGGCCTCGTGGCGGAGCAGCCGTGACAGAACTCGAAATAAGAGTGACGCCTGCCAACTGTCTGGAAACCCCCAGGCCCCGCAAGATTCGCCACATCGACACCTTTGACACTCGCTCACTGGGATTGGTTTAACTTGGGTCACACTTTCGGAGTAATTCGACAATTATGACAACGATGACAGAAACTGTAAATCCGAAAATCGACGTCCCAACCAAATAGACGGGACCCTGGATCGAGGGCTGGACACCGCCCCTCAAACTCTCTCCGTCCTGATCGGCGAGCTAAATTTCCGCGGAGCCCGCCGCGGTGCTGTATTCCCGAAGACTATGCTCCGAATCCAGTAACGTCGTACAAGAAGTCATGCTCGAGTTGGTGCCAGTCGAGTCAGACTCCGACTCTTCCAAGGTATCTCCATCGTCTTGGCCTGACGGCGATGTGGCATACCCGCTGCTCATATTCACAGACTGTGCAATCCGATGTGACGCTTGTTCGCTTGGCTCCTGCTCCCACTGCCGCACCCGCTGGTAGACATTGAATCCAGCAGGTCCTCTGCCTCGAACCTGGCTGTCCCGCTCGAAGTATTGTTTAGGCCATCCTCTAGTGTGAATCCAGGTCTCTAGCGGGTCGATAGCCCTCCCATGAGACGTGGAAGTATGGTTTGGCTCTTGCTCTTGCTCTTGCTCTTGCTCTATGTCCATAGACGTGGAGGTGGTCTGGTCTCGTTGATCTATACTGTATAGTTGTGTAGCACAGCTTTGAGGAAAGGTCCCTGTTCGCTTGGACTGAGGCCGATCTTCGTCTAGAGAGTGCTGTTCTCTTTCTCGTTTGCGTTTGTGGCAGACACCCGTCCTCAAGGGCGCACTCGACACCTGTGATTCCAGGTCCTGGTTCAGGTTAGCGAGGTGTCGGAGAACGTTGAGTGAGGCCAGGGAGGGGGGATGGCAGGAGAGGGCATGACAAGGAAGGGGCACTTGCGGTTCTTCGTCCTTGTAGGAAAGACTGTGTGGGTGCTGGAGACGAGGCTGAGGTTGAGGGTAAGGCGTGCTGAGCTGTTCTCCTCCGACTTTTGGAGGGTCTGTCTCCGTCATGGAGCTGTGTGTGTCTTCGTATGCGCCTAGGCCTGCGTCTGTCTTTCTTCTTCGCATCCTCATCATGACCGTGCCCGTGCCGGCGCTGTCCTGAGGGCGATAAGGCTGCACCCGGAAAAGCACCGCTCATGTCGGCCAGCCGGGAGAGCGTGGCCTTCTCTTGATCTGTCGGGATTTGGGGACTGGTGAATGAGCCGTCGAGCCCTCGTCGGGTGGCTACGGCCATGGCCGACGGGGCTTGAGGAGGTCTGCAGCTTGTCTGTGCTGCCGGTGAAGACTGTTGGTGAACAATCATCGTCAGGCTGGCGGACGTTGACGACCCCAGCCTCCCCGGCCTGAGCCACGAAGCTAGCACTAGCGGGTGCATCTTCCTCAGGAACCCCGCACCGCCCGCACTCCAGTGTAGCAACCTCGTACTCCGTAATCGTACCCCGAACTCTATAAAATTCTCATCAAGAGCCTCCGAGATACTTTGAACGAATTTCCCAATCGAGCCATTGTATTCCAGTCGACACTTCATTCAAGTGAGTGAGCTACATGCTCGAGTCGAATATTACTTCTTTCTCATGATCATGAGTGAGACACTACATCTCCGCATGCGCCTGTCCAGCAGGGGTTATTGTAGCATACTACGTGGGCATACTGTGGACGAGCGACAAGATGGGCACTCACTCCGGCGGTCATGCGATGTTGGCGACCTTTCCAACCTTGTTGCAAGCGCCCGGGATATATGTGCACACCACCAAACTCCAACAACCTCAATGCCGAGTCATATTTAGACTGTTGTCGTTGGTGGACCTGACCTAGTGACCAGATTCTTGGATCCTCTCCCGCTTAGAAAGCCGCATCTCTTTCTGTTCAGGAGCCAAGTCCTCGTTATCGATGGTTCTTTGAGCCACTGACAAAGCCGCCGCAGAGAACTACTGTGTTGCAAGCCCCTAGCATTCTCGGGACATTTTTTCTTGTCGATGGTAGTACGTACTCCCGCACTACCTCCTTCGCACCTTATTCCGAGTCCTGCTCTTTCTCTTAGTCTTCGATATTCGCCTGGGTGCAACAGCAGCGGCCAAGGACTGGTTCGTCCGATCAGCACGAACCCGCAGTCTAGAGGAGATAGGGCCTTCTTCGGCACTCTGTGACTTGCTGCTCCCTTTATTGTTCTCTGTCACTTTACACAGAGCCTTTTTTGAGCACACTGTAGATGGTTTCCCCTCTCTCTCTACTGTTCGTCTCTTGTGGAGTGTCCCGCCTCTCTTGTTCTCGCCGCTGGAGGATGCTGAAGATTGCCTTGGTCAGGTGAGCCGCTTCGGTGCGCTAGTACTCAACCGAGCTGATCGATAGGCGATGTTCTGTCGAGGAATCTAGAAGACGGATCCGGCGGCTGGTCTGAGTCGCCTGGTCTTTCCAGTAATCCACGGGTTTAAGGAGTTGAAGAAGATAGTCGGGGGGGGGTAGACTGGGGGCGTCGAGGAGCCGCGGTGCTCGATGCTCCAGCTGCGCTAGGGTTTGCGGGTTACGAGCCGGTTTAGTTCTTCGAGGTCGGGGATCGGTGGGTGATGGGGAGAAGGAGAGCGGATGGATGTCCGGTGACGCAAAGTTTTCATGGTAGCTGCATAAAAGTGTTAAGGGGAGAGTTGTCGTGATCAACGTCTGAAGGGAGAGTTGCTAGCGAGCTAGAATTCGCGCTCAGCCTCCACAGATATAACGCCAAGTGATGGTATCAGATAAGATAGTGACCACAAAAGTCACATCTACATGCTATTGACATGACCACATGCGTGACCCAATCATACAATCGAGTGTTGAGCCTCACACGGCGACTTGAAACGAGGGTGCGTATGAATGGGGTTGGCGGGGAGCGTGGAGTACACTAGATGTATGGTCCGTCGGCGTGATCGGAGTGGAGTATGGAGTACGGATACAACTGTGGATTCGACCCGCAGGACTTAAAAAGGACGAGGACCATGAGAGACCACAAAGCGTGGGCCGAGGCAGTGGCTCGATGGGCCAACAGCAAAACGAGCGTGCTGACGGAGAGGAGAACAGAGTCAATGTTTCCAGCACAGACACACCGTCCCTGTGAAAGACCGAAAGAAGAGAAGAAGCAATAAATATATCATCCAGAGTTCAGGGACAGGTGTTTAGCCTCCAGCTTCTTCAGATAGTATTCCCGCTGGCGGACTTTATCTTGGACGAAAGCAGAGGCAGCAAGAGACCAGTACGGCGCGAGTATTTCCTGAAACCAACAGGCCTGCTCTCCTTCGGAGTGTGACGGCGCGAATAAAGGCTGAATATGCTCCATGAACAGATTGTACATTCCTCTCGGTTCGTTCAGGCTGCTCCAATACCAATGTGTCTTCCTCTCAAGAGCAGATTTCATCACTGCCGTACAAAAGCCCGGCTCTAGGCAAGAGTCACGTTCTGTAGAATTGTCCTCATCTTCAAACATCTGAAGGAAATCGTCGCACATATTGTCGAAGTCTCCTATTCTCTCTCCTTCCAGCTGATCGAGTTGATATCCACTCAACCAGAACGGTGGGTGTTGCGTTTCAATTGGTAAAGAGCAACCCCATTCAAGGTCAACGATTGCCGTGACTCTATACTGCCGATCAACAAAGATATTGCCCGGGTGGAGATCTGTTAATCGGAAGATGAAGGGTCCGTATCGAAGATGATGCTGCGTAAAAGTCGCTGTTAGGCTCCGCATAATAGTCAAAACAGCCATCTGCCCTTCGGCATCAAGCTTCGACCGGACGGCGTTTGGTTGATGTTGTAAAATCAGATCCTGGCATTTTAGGAGGTCATGGAAATACGAATCTGCTGTCACGTAACAAGACTGCGGCAGAATTTCGGTAGGGATGTCCTGGTTCTCCGAAACAGCAAGTCGTAGAGTCAGAGGGCGATGACTAAGGCTTATTTCACCATTATTGTTAATGGTGAAAGAATCTATACGGGGTAATGGACGTGCCAAATCGAGCATAATTCTGGATAGACTCCTATAGAGGTTCTGCTTCTGCTCAACTGTTTGAGGTGGAGGCATATTGGAGAGAACTGTGCCTTGTTGCGCATCGATAAAATCCATAAGGAGGTAGCCTGATTTGAGTGACAGGGGACGTCGGCGAGGAATGAAAGGACGATAGAAAGGCTTCCGAATGATCCACGCCAGACCCCTTTTCAAGTATTCGAAAGCGCGAAAGAACCAGGGAAGTTGGGATACGTGTGTGAACTATATTTTGCGTAAGCCTCAATCAATCTTCAAAGATTTGAAAATAAATTTACCGTCAAGCCATCTGGAAGCCCCAGTCGCCAGAGTCTTGGGATTGGGACTGAAGAATTCTGGGAGATCCAAGCGAAAGAAGCAGCCTCACAACGAAGCTTCTCATCTAGAAGTTGTGGATTAACCAGTCCCCGAGTCGATAGGGAAGGGGACATTTGATGAGCAGTTTCTGCCCATTTGAGCCGCTGATTCGGATCGGGATACAGATATTGAAGCTCCCACACAGCCAATCGGACGGCTGTGCAACTATGAGTTGTTGATCTGACCGTAGCCAGACGTGCTGAGTGACAATCGTCTTGATATGTTCCGTACGGCTTTGCAGGTACTCTAGAAACTCATGTTGTAATCGTGGCCGATCCAATATTGGGAGCATGTTGTCATCCTCGTCTCTAGTGTCTGACCAGTTGGGCATCTGCTGGACCTTCATCGTTACAGTCACAAATTATGGACTATCAGGAGGGGGAATGTGATAAAGGTCCAGCAGGATGCGTTGGACCGTGGCAAGCAGGCGTGTCGAGTGTGGTAGGGAGTCTTGATCATGGGTTCAGGGGCTTTGAAGTCAGAGACAGTATGGAGTGCGCAGGCAGCCTAGTAGGTGTTTCATGTGACTAAGCGTCTCCATCCTACGAGTGAATTTAGAGTTTTTAGCGTTCAGTGATTAACTGCTTCCTCCGCCAAGCATTGGTCAAGTTCACTCGCTAGCGTGCTTTAGCTTCTTGGCGGCTACTAGAGTAATCTCTGAACTACATAATACATGTAATTAATTATTTAGTCGCCATATGCTTTTGTCTCTCTTTCGTCCAGAAGTAGGCACCGTCTTCCATATCATCCATTGCCAGTCAATATGGCCGCCGGTGAAGTAGTGAAACAACACCCCGGAGAGAAGGACGAAGGCCAATTCAAGGCATCATCAACACAGCAAAGAGTGCAGCGGGGCAGTCAGTTACGTCAATGACCTCAATTTAGTGCCCTTCTAACATCGTACAGCTAAGCGGCCGTGGTGGCAGCATTTCCAGGTTAACAGAGACAGATCGCCGGCGAAACGTCTGCGACGCAGGCTAACACAACACACCGAGACAAGAACAGGACCCGATAAGGAAGAGTTGATCCAAAACTGGCTGGAAGAGACTTCCTGGTCTGGCGAAGCCTCGACAGAGTATCAAACTGAGCAGTCCGAGGCAGAGGCCAAGATGCCCGGCCAAGCTGCCGCCATCGATCCATCTCCGACGGTCAGCGTCGAAGAAAGCACCACAAGCACATCCAGAAAGTCTACGAGGTTCGCTGCCAGTGTGCATGATACGAACTATCACCAGGCATTACTCGATCGCAACATCGTCATCGAGCGCGAAAAACCCCCGCCGGAGTTAATGCGGAAAGCACACAGAATCGTATCACGCGCGCGAAACTCGCCTGAGATAGACGACGTAACAATTCAGCGGCTGATAGATGAATCTCGGGGTCTTAGAAACGCGAAGAAGGCCGTTATCGATCAACAGCTAGCGTCACATATCATTCCTGCTATGAATAAGATCCCCGACCAGAGACTGCAAATGACTGCTGGCCAACAATGGGTCGATTCTGTTCCCGTGCCGCTTAACGCAAACGTGGCAAAAGTGCTTGCCACGCAATACCCTCTACCAAAACCAAACACGCCACTTCCTCTACCAAAACCAAAACCTGACTTAGCTTTCGGATACTCTAAAGCTGCTTTTACCCACAAGCAGCTTACAGCTATTGAACTTCTCGAAGACCGGTTCGGCCAAAGCTACATCGTTCCGGACCAGACGATTCGATTTCCGTTTCTAGTGACCGAGTTTATTTCACAGGCTCAGAATGAAACTCACTATATCGCAACAAACAAGGTCGCCGGCGCTGGAGCCATCGCCTTGGACGGGAATTGGGAATTAATGCGGTGCAGTCTCCAGAATTTCGATTATGAGGAGCCACAGTTTTTCTCCGTGACTATGGATCATGACACAGCCTGTATAAATATACATTGGCTAAGAGCTCCTATAGAAGGAGAAGAACAACAGACTTTCTACGTCGAACGACTTTCACAGTACCTTCTACGAGAGGAAAACGGTATCCGAGCATTTTCCTGAGCTGTTAAAAATATCCTTGACTACGCTGTCGATACACGGCTACCACCACTTTGCGAGGCACTAGATACATACTGGTGGACGGTGATTTCACCATTCAGTATAATCATAGGATGTAGGGAATGAGGTTCTACCCGCACTGCAATCTATGACGAACAAGGAGAACAGTGGCGCCAATTGATGCTCGAACGGAAAGCGCTGTATCACGCGAAAATGAGCGAGCGGCCTTTGCATGAGTCACAAAGAGCTGTACCGACTGAGATGGCGCGTTCACAGCACTCATTTGAAGACGAAAAAACTAGGAGACAAATCAGGCCTACGCGGAAGGTGCTGGAGAACACTTACGCTGACATGAAACGGGGTCGGAGACGATGAGATGGCCTGCCTTGCATGGAAACGGCCACCGGGTGTGATCTCTCATGTCTACCCAAGGGGAACGTGTAGATTGTTACCATTGCACTGCGGATCGCATCGTCTGTCGATAGGGTGGGGATGATTTGACCCGATGAACGTAGGTCCCTATGACAGATAGCAGCGAACGAACTGTACGAGCATGACCAAGAATTCATTAGATAGCCTTCAAATGTGATGCGAAGCGAACGAACTGTACGAGAATGACCCAACAATTCATTCTTCTTTGACACCATCCACTCTCGATGCACGAGAGGGCAGCAGCCTCTAAGCGCTGTTTGCATGTCGACAACTTCCTGTCCCTGACCCTGATTTGGAGCTCTATTCCTCGTGCCTCGTTCAGACTGTAGACCCAAACCATGATCCTTTCCCACAAGCTGCTTGCAGCACCAACCAAGCCCATTCCTCCAGAAGCAGAAGAACTTGGAACTCTCGGTGGCCCGAGATCGATGGAGATAGAGCATGCAAGGGCGGTGCAGTGCTCTAAGGGGGTTCATCCCAGCCAGCCATTTCCGATCAGTGGACCTTGCTCGTGGGTCTGTCGCTCGCTGGGGTATCGGGATCATGTATCATGTGCGTTTTCTTTTGTTGGTCGTCACGGCACGAGGAGGCGCAAGGTCGTCTGGGCTTGAGGGGGGTGTCGGTGACATCCTCGGAGTGTTGAGACAGGAGAGATCAGGAGTGCTTTTGGCATTGAGATAGGAGAGAGAGGAGTGCTTTTGGCATCGATGTAATGGAACGTGATTCAAGCATTGTGAATGTGGAGATATTTGTCTATGTCCATCGTTGGTGACTTCTCAGGTTCTGCCTGTCTCAATCGGTTCGCCGCTTGCTGCTGTCACATTTGCATGGTGAAGTCGCAGTATCTCGTCATCTTTGACAGAGGGGGGGGGGTTTGAGGATGCTCGAGTGAGGACATGCGTTGAGTTATACAAGGAAAAGAAACCTGGCTTGCTGGCGCCTGAGTTATGAAGGTGAATACACCCTCGAAAATCCTACACCAAATCTTTTGGGACCTTTTCATTGACGGGAGAGAACAGACTGTGCTCCATACTTCTATCAGCAGAGTGGTACACGAAAGCCTAGCAGTCTCTCACTGGGAATTAACTACATGCACACAATCGACTTATGCTATCCTCATGTTAGTCAGCGGACTACTACTAGGAATATTTGCCCTGAGGTACAAATGCTGAGTGTTGAGACAGACCAGCCTCCCTCAATATCGTCCATCCCGCACGTGTTTTGCAGGCACTCTGCTCCAATCCAACCATGTTCCTCCAAAGCCAAACTTTCGACACCCGTGATGAAACCGTTCATGCTGATGGTGGTGGGGGTGGGATGTATTCACCCATACCAGGTGGTGGTGGAGGTTGCACATCCGGTGGCGGTGGGGGAGCTTGGGTGTCTGGTGGCGGCGGTGGAGCATTGCCGAACTGCTGCAGGAAAGTGCTCAGGCCAGGAGGAGCTGCTGGAGGTGGTGGAACACCGTAGCCTGCCTGAGCATCATATCCAGGATAGCCACCGTATGCGTAAGGCTGTGCAACAGGAGCCTGTTGTTGCCACGGTGGTGCTTCATGGCCTGGAGCCGATCCGTACCCTGCGTGACTCTCACCACCACGACTCTGGGCCCAAGGGGGGTTTGATGCCCCGCCGTCTCGACCACCGTAGTCACGCTCAGGTCGCTCTCGCTGCCAGGGGGCCGGAGCGCCAGTAGGTTGTCGTGCCCACGGTCGTGAATCCCCACCAGAGGGGGCGCCGCCATATGAATCTCCTTGCTCGTAACCGCCTGGCCCAGCTTCGATACGGCCTGCTGGCCCGTTGCCAGATGGATTACCGGAAAGTTCTTGCATGAGATTCTAGATTCGGATTAGAAAGTGCCCGTCACCGCGTCGGGTCGGAACAAACATACCTCCATTTCTCTGTCCACGGCATCGGCAGGACCAAGTCGTCGCTGAGGACCGCCGTATCCTCCTGGGATGTTATTGCGCGAGTCGGTACCACGCTGTCTATCTGGGCAATCCCTAGCCATGTGGCCGGCATTGCCACAGACTCGACAGATGATGTTGGCAGTGAAGTTGCGCTGCTCAGGGCAATCATACTTTCGATGCCCAATTTGACCACCTGCAGAAGAAGTTAGGAGAGAGTGACTCGGTGAGGAAGCTGCGCAACTTACAGTTCTGACATGCTTGGTTTTCATCGTCACGGAGAGTTCCGTTGAGCGCCGCAAGTTCGCGGAGCTGGTTTCTCTTGAGTTCGTTTTGACCTTCCGGAATGGAGGCGGCGGTTTCGATGACATTGTGGATCAGAGCCTTGGCTTTGTTGACTTTCTCTTCCGTGTCGGCCATGATGAGACAGTGTAGGTCTTCTTCCTGGTTGCTAGTATGAGCAGCATCAGAGCGTCCTTTGCCTTCCTTGACGGAGCCTTTGCCTCGAATGGCAATTTTGGCCCCCGATTCGGTTTCCATCTTCTTCAACGTGTTGCCACGGGGCCCAATGAGTAGCCCAACTTTTCACAAAAGAAGCTAAGCGTTAGTATCTGATTCTCAAAACACATGTTGGGGGAACAAAGCGGTTAGTGTTAACAGTAGGATGCCAGGCCCACCGTCACAGCCTCAAAGCGTAGGCGAAAGATGGGACATGGAGAGAAGAAAAAAGACGAGGGCTTGTAATAGAGTTAGAGGGTTAGTTAGCATACTAAAGTTAATCTCGGGATAGTCGTTGACCGGCACGTAAACCTTTTCCTGTGTCTTGGTGGGCCGCCTGTAATCCGAGGGTGGATGGTAGTTGGGAATGGTTTTCATGGCCTTTTCTATCAGCTTGTGTCGCTCATCCTCGAGACGCTTGCGATAGCGGAACTCCCGAGTGTTCACACGGCGACCAAAGTTGTCATATTGGGGCGGGGGCGATGGCGACCTAGTGTCTCGTCAGTGTTCTTGCTCATACTCGCTCGACGGGAGGCGAACGTACCTGTCAGTTTCCGCGGGAACGACATCGTTGATCCTCAGCTTTTGGCTAATCTCTTCAACCCGAAGATGTAAAGTATATGCCTCGAGTTGTTCGGCTGTCATGTTGGCCTGGATCATTGTAGGAAGGCCCATGAGGCCAGCTGCTTTGTTCTCGCCAGCTTCACCCCATCGGTTTCTCTTCCTACGCCTCTTTGCACCGTCCGCGCCATCGGTTCCGGCTTCAGCTGCGACATGGTCAGTATCTCCAACAATGCTTCGGAAGGATAACGCACCTCTGGCAGGACTGCGCCCGCGTTTGCCGGAATCTCTGTCTCCGTAGGCAGAAGAGTTCACGGCAGGCCCATCTTGCGAGTCCCCATTGCTGTCACCTCCGAACCGACGGCGCGTCCCAAGAGGGATGTTATTGGAGCCTGTGATGCCTTGGTTGCGCCACGACATCTTGAGTGTTGCAGAATGATAAAGAACAGTCAAAGAAAATGACCGCGTTGTGATGCAGTTCAGAAGTCGGATGGGCGCAGTTTGTCGTGTCCAGGGGCAAATTCAAGTTTCCAACACGCCAAGCCCAACCACGTGATGCCAGCTGTGAGGCGCAAAATTCTGGTGCCACCTGGCATCTCCCATTTATGGCTTATTCATTTGTTAGTCAGCCGGACTACCTGCCTAGTAGGTGCCCAGTCTACTAAAGTACGTGCTAAAGTACTACTAGCGCCAGAATTCTACACTAGACTGCATTGGTACTAAAGCTTGGCGCGTAAGATCAAGGTGCGCCCGAATGTACACCTACAACACTTCAATACCTCGGACGAGTTCTTATCTAGAACGTGTGTACACTGTCGTCGCGATTCCTGTTAAAGGATGTGGCTTGACAACACTCTTGACGAGTACGTGTGCCAAGTGTTCGGACCAATGCACCCCCGTACCCACTCGTCGGGTAGGCCATCTCCATGAATTGCCGTGTCGGTTATTGAAATGTCCTGGCGCGGAGTCGCGGGGCGGAGACTTCTATCAGCTTCGGCGCATCTGCATCCGGTCACAACTGGACCACAGCAGTTTCATCAGTTGTTCAAATATGTCATGCCGCTTGAGTAGCCCTCTCTATCTCGATACTTGCCGGTATCTTGGTTGCAGAGATCTTGGTTGCAGGCAGCATGGCGCTTCATCAGGACTCAACAGCGGCCATCGCGAACAATCCGTTGCTGTTCCCGCAGTCAACGCGGCCCTTTAACAAGAAGTTATTCCAACAGCCAACGGCCGAATATCGAGGCAATCCTCTATGGTCATGGAACACCAGGTTGGAGCAATCGAAGCTCCTACAAGGCATCGACGCTTTACAGGAGATGGGCTTCGGGGGGTTTCACATACATTGTCGCGTCGGCCTTGATACTGAGTACTTGGGCCCGGAGTTCCTCGAATATGTGAAAGGCTGTGCCGATTATGCTGCAAAGAAAGATTTGCTGTGCTGTTTGTACGACGAGGACCGCTGGCCCAGTGGTTATGCGGGAGGGCTCACCCTTGAGGGCCACCCCGAACATCGAGCGAAGCATCTTCTCTTCACGCCTCGGAAGTACGGCGAGGGTACCCGGACTGAGTGAGTGTGTTCCTTACCGTGGAAGATGCTGTCAGTGGATGCTGATACGTGCTGGTGCAGTGTAATGCAGGGAGCACATGCTGGTGGTGTTCGAAGTGAGCTCGGGGAGCTTGTCGCGCGGTATGAGATCACCCTGAATAAAAAGACCAAAACTCTGGCCTCATTCAAGCGACTGGCCGACACGGAGGAGCCATCTCTCGGATCGACGTTATGGTACGCCTATCTCGAGCCTAACCCACCGTCGGAGTGGTATAATGGTGACACATATCTGGACACTTTGAGCGAGGCTGCAGTGGCTCGATTCATCGAGACGACGCACGAGAAGTATGCAGATATAGTGGGCCATCTGTTTTCCACCGTCGTGCCGAGCATCTTTACCGATGAGCCTCAGTTCGCCCACAAGACTCAGTTACTACAGGTTGATGATCTGACAGACGTCTTCTTGCCGTGGACCGATGATTTCAGTCTCAGCTTCGAGCACCGCTATGGCTATGATATATTGGCCCACCTTCCTCTCCTCGTCTGGGATGCACCCGATCTGGAGCGGGCAGAAGTCGCTCGCTATCATTTCCACGACCACGTATGTGAGCGCTTCGTCGACGCATTCATGGATCAAATCGCGACGTGGTGTCGCAACCACGGAATCTTGTTGATTGGACATATGATGAAGGAGCCCACACTTCTATCCCAAACCCAAGCCCTGGGCGAGGCCATGCGGTGTTATCGCAATCTGGATGTTCCCGGTGTCGACATTCTGACTGACCTCCTCGAATACAACACGGTCAAACAATGCACCAGTGTGGCCCATCAGAATGGCGCCAGGGGGTCAATGAGTGAGATCTACGGCGTCACTGGATGGTCCTTCGATTTTCGAGGCCACAAAGCGAGCGGTGATTGGCAGGCAGCCCTGGGGATCACATTCCGAGTGCACCATCTTGCCTGGGTCAGTATGGAAGGCGAGGCCAAGCGAGACTTCCCGGCGGCCATCAGCTACCAGAGTAACTGGTACCGGGAGTACCACCATGTGGAAGATCATTTCTCCCGGCTCAACGTGGCCCTCACCAGAGGTCGACCCCAGATCCGCGTTGCGGTGATCCATCCTATTGAAAGCTACTGGCTCTGCTTCGGACCATTGGAGACCAATCGCTCGGAACTGTTGTTTCGCGACAGTGCCTTCGCAGACTTGACCAACTGGTTATTATTTGGGTTGATTGATTTTGACTTTGTCTCCGAAAGTCTCCTGCCCAGTCAATGCCCGTCTGATGATGTCAATAACTCTGGTCGAACCCTCGGAGTTGGCGCCATGGAATACGAGGCAGTCATTCTTCCCAACCTTCGAACCATTAGGTCGTCGACGTTGGAGCGGGTGAGAGCGTTTGCCAATTCTGGAGGCAAAGTCATCATCGCAGGAGAAGCACCAACCCTTGTCGACGCCAAAACGCCCGACACCCCCCTGACTCTGGAAAATATGACCCACGTTCCCTTCACGAACTTCCACATCCTTCGTGCTCTCGAGGACTTCCGCGACATTCGGATTGTCACTACTGATGAAGGTCAGAATGCCTCCACCTTCATGTACAATATGAGGGATGACGGCGACTCACTTTACCTTTTCATCTGCAACACTGACCGCCGGCGATACTACCCAACCCGTGTCGCAATCAAGGGGGAATTTGGTGTCGACGTCCTGGATACCCTCACAGGTGACGAGTGGAGGCTGGAAACCGAATTGGTCGACGGCTGGACAGAGTTCAACTGGCACTTTGAAGCCATTGAGAGTCTGCTGCTCCGGCTCCAGCCCGTCACTGCCAACCTTGCCGTATCGAAGATATCGGGTGCCCAAAGGCAATTTCCGCTCCGGTCTTCGCTGAAGACCGTGGCGAGCGAGGTGCATCTGGACTCGGTCGAATTAGACGAAAAGAATGTTCTTCTCCTTGACCGCGCATCTTGGAGACTCGAAGGGGAAGATTCATGGCACGAGGAGACGGAAATCCTACATGCCGAGAACGACGTGCGGCGGCATCTGGGGATCCCCCAGAAACTCGAAGCCTTTCGCCAGCCATGGCGGTATTCCGCCGCTGATAGGGCACCGGTTGCAACCGTTCACTTGAAGTTTGACTTCGCCTCCACCGTCGCTGTCGATGGCGAGATTCTGCTGGCTCTGGAGCAGCCTGAAGCAGTCCGGGTCCTGTTCGACGGAGTAGAACTTGGCGGGAAGACCACCGACCACGTCACGGGGTGGTGGGTGGACAGGGACATCCATACGGTCCGACTTCCTGGCTCGATCACGGCCGGCAAACATTCGATCGAGCTCATCCTCCCTTTCAGCAGGCTGTCCAACATGGAACGGCTGTACCTCTTGGGAGATTTCGGGGTTCAGATCCGCGGCCAATCCGCGACCATAGGCCCGCTCAATCTCCGTGACCTCACGTTTGGCGACTGGACCCCGCAAGGGCTTCCTTTCTATGCCGGAAATGTGACGTACCACTGTAGCTTCACCACGCCGGCCGACTTTGAACGCGGAACAAGGCTTTTCGTCGAGATCCCGCGCTTTTGCAGCCCTGTCTTGACGGTCAGCCTGGATGGCGCATCGCGTGGTCCCGTCTATCTGGACCCTCACACGCTCGAACTGGGAAGCGACTTCGGCCCCAGGGAATCCCACACGCTGGATGTGACGTGCTTTGGCAACCGCGACAACGCCTTTGGTCCGATCCACAAGCCGGAAGGCGGTACGAGGTGGATTGCGGCCAACACGTTCCGCGCCGAGCACGAGAATTGGACGGAGGAATACACCATCAAGAAGATGGGTGTCCTTCAACGACCCAGGCTGAAGGTTGTCGGCAAGGAAATCTACCACGTCCAACTGAATCCGACCAAGACTTGGATTTTGTAGAATGTATGCATTGCCATGTGTCTTAGTATTAGGAGGTGAGGGATGTCACAGTAGGCAGAAAGGTTCCTTCCCTCAAAGCGCCTGGGTCGCCTTGACCAGTCAGGACTTACGATATACAGTAAATAAAATAGTGGACGCTGTGAATGAGGCTGAGGAATACAGTACTCAGGTTGAGATCTTGACGAGAGAGAGATTATACAGATACCTTATCCGTGCACCTGATGGCACCAAGTAGTATGCACTTACATATACATACATCCATCAGTATGCACTTACTTATACATCCATTTATCCATCCACAGACATACATGTACGGCATACATATATACAGTCTGACCGAACTCAAATGGCTGACTGTGGGCATGCATACCTTCTCTGTTACGATGTGATGAGGCACACTGCTCCGTACGTAGATCGAACCTGATTTGCTTTTACATTCATGATTGCCTGGTTTCGATTTCTACAGGGCCAGGCCTGGGTAGGGGCAGGTTCGCTGGCGATAAGGATAGCTAGCTAGCTACAGTAGCAGTCCGGCAATCCGTCAGATGCATCACCCAGCAGTCATTGCAGTAGCAGTCATTACAGTCCAGTCCAGTCCGTCAGACGAATCAGCCAGCCGTCATCGCAGTCATTGCAATGCGTCACTCATCCGGCCGGCCGTTTTCACCTTTGACAAAGTACTTGGGTTGTAAGCTCCCAGTTCTCACCAAGGCCAGCCCGGGTCTGTACACTTAACGCGTCGAGTCCGACTCCCGCCCGGGCCGTTCGTTACACTTGAAACCGAACCGATGCAAACACAGACACCGACCCAGACACCGACCCAGATAGGCGAGAATCCTATCCTTAGAAGACCAAACCCAACCCAACCCAACCCAGATAGGCGAGTCCTACACGGCAAACCGATTCTCGTAATCAGGCGGATCCAGATCGTCGGTCTGCGGCGGGAGTGACATTCTCTTCCAGCTCGACGACGACATCGATATCCTTGGGCGGCTGCGGGGCGGCCTTGACCTCGTCGCCGAACAGGGCACCGATGCTCTCCAAAGTGTGGCCGTTGGTGTCGGGCAGGAGGAACATGTAGAAGAGGAAGGCGACGACGTTGGAGGCGATGAAGACGAAGTAGTACTTCCACTCGATGGCCTTGAAGGCCAGCGGCGTGACTTGGGTGATGAGGATCTGGGCGCAGGCCTGGGTGAAGATGGCGATGGACGATCCGTAGCCGCGCAGGTGGTAGGGGAAGAGCTCCGACGCCACGATGTACGGCGTGCTATTGAGGAACAGGGCGTTGAGGAACGAATACAGGAAGATGAAGGCCACGCCAGCCGACGACGCCGATTCGTTGCTTCCGTCTCCGTACACGGCTGAGATGGGCGTCAGCACCACCAGACACACGGTGAGGGACGCGATGCCGACATCTATTTGTTCTTGCGTTAGTCCTGGTCCTGACTTGTGTCATATCCGACGGTATTGGGGGTGACTGGGTGGGGTTCAACATGATTTGGGCTGGAAATTGGTCTGTTCTGTTCTGGTTTCCCTTCTCTTTCTTTTTCTGCGGCTGGGATTCCCGCCCATCATGTACCCTAAGAGAGGAGAGCCAGGCGGCGGAGACACTTACAGAGCGTTCTCGTCCGAGGCCACTTGTCGGCCACGACCCAAAAGTTCAGCGCTTGTCCCAGCGGACCGAGGACGCCGTAGCATCCGCTGATCAAGAGAACAGTACGGCCCTTGAATCCCAGCGAAGCATACATGATCGACTGGTAGTTCTGGATGGCTCCGGAGCCGGAGAACTGGCAGAAAGCCAGGATGAACATGGCGGTGGCGGTGCGGCGCAGATACTTCCTCGACACCAGCTCGACCAATGCGCCGCGGCGTTTCTGGTCCCGTTCAAAGGAGATCTGGGCGAAGATCTCGCTGAACTCTCGTTGGATGTACTCTTCGCCGCGCAGGCCGTGAAATTTCCACAGTGAATGCTTCGCGTCTTCTAGCCGATCTTGCTCGATTACTGCGACTGTTGTTAGCCATACCGTATACACGCAGCGAATCCGCACTACCACCGCTCCGGAAGGAGTCTGATGACACGAGGCCAAAGGCATTGCCGTGTGGACTTGTACTTACACCATCGAGGAGAGTCCGGGAGGAAGAAGGACAAGACCATGAGAACGAGCGCCATGGGGATCTGCATGGCCAGGGGCAGCCGCCATTGGATGTCGCCATATGCTGCAAAGGAGCCGGCATAGCCGACCCAGTTGGCAACCATGAAGCCAATCGCCAACATCATGCCCTGCATGCCGACGTAGAACGCTCTCCGTTCCGGCACCGAGATCTCGGCAATGTAGACAGGGATGCCGGCGACCAGAGCCCCCGTGGCGAGCCCGGCCACCAGGCGGCCCACGATCAGCATGGCGATGTGGACGGAGCCAGTCTGGATGGCGGCACCGACCACGGCAAACAAGGAGCTCAGAGTGAGTGTTCTTTTGCGCCCAATCTTGGAGAGGAAGATGCCCCCTCCAAACGCGCCCACCGCTTTGCCTCCGTAGTAGACCGAGACCGCAGCCCCCAAGGTACTCGTGTCGACGCTGGTGGTCGATCCAAACATGTACACCTTGAAGCTGTCGTGCGCAATCGTCGTGGCCACGATACCCGTGTCCATGCCGTAGACAAAACTGGTCCACCATAGCGTTAGTCGCCGATGCAGCAAAACAGAGAGTCCTGAACACCTGACACCGCTCCTCGAAAACCAAGACAGAGGAGCGAGGGGCGTAGCATTCAATGGTATGGCTTATCACTTACCTCCCCAGTGCCGCGACGATGGAGCAGATCAACGTCGTATAGGCAGACATGGTGAAGACCGCCATGATTGTGACTGTGACTAGGTTGGTATATTCAAGGACACACACAAATCTAGGTCCAGATCCAGATCCAAATCTGGGGAATGGCGCAGGCTGAGCCTTGAAGTCTTTTTTTTTTTGATAGAGGTTGAAAGCCAAAGGGGGAAGGGAGCCTTGTGTGCTGGCGTGCCCGGTCTGCCTGCAGCAGGCCTTAATAACACATTCACGCACAGAGCGTCTTCGTGCGATTGATCCTCCGAGCAAAAGGTCTAGCCAGATCTCTTCCCAGCATCTCAGGCCGAGCGGGAAGTCTGAGCTGTCGGTGGCAAGCCTTGGCAGAGCCTTATCAAAAGCCGTGCAGTAAAAAGTCAATTGCCGTCTAGCGGAAAGTCAATAGCCGCACTTGTTAGCCTTCTTCGAGGCCTAATTAAGCCTCGCTCACTTCTCCACAGCTGTGCTATCTGTAGGGGCAAAGCTTAGGGCCTAGGGGTCCTTAGGCTTAGGCTTCTCAGGCCTTAAGCCTATCCTAAGGCCCATAAGCCCCTGTGCCGAGGCTCATCTGATTTGATTGTCTTGGGGAAAGTGTCTCCACGGGGATTCCCCGCCTAGACAAACGTGCGTCCGCCACGAGGTGGATTTTTCACTTTTCACCCGACCTCCTGACCTCGTGCTTGTGGGAAATAGCTGGACCCCATCGGCGCCCATTGCCCCGAATCTGCACCCGGATCTGCCCGTGGGCGCTGGGGAAGGGGAAAGGGGGAAGAAGGCAGCTGGCAGAGCTGACTACGGAGTATGGAGTAGTTCGTGAAGAACTCCTTCTCCTTCCCCCGGAGAGAGGTGTACCGTCCCGTCGAGATACCGGAGTTGTTTACGGAGAACCCAGAACCTTGAAAGAAACGTCTTCGGAACAACACGAGAGCCGGTCCGGATAGAAAACGAGGTATGCGGAAAGATACTTATGCGATCCTAGGAGTTGTACATATCGACCATTGCAAAATACTTATACTTGGCGTTTTTGAAGTTCGTTTTTGAAGTTCTTTTGACCTTGCATAGTCCTGGATAATCTCGTAGATCTGGCTCCAAGGGCTCCTGAGGTCTAGCAACTCTGGTACTAGATACTGATGGCGGTCGTTGGGACCGTGAACAAGAACGTCGTCGAGCAGATCGACTCTTTGAGTAGGCAGTCCGACGCGAGCCTTGCCGACCCCAGTGCAAATAGTGGGCGAGTATGCTTCCAGGCTTTCATCCATCTGACTGAGACTGGCTCCAGAAGAGTGAATACTGATGGTGGAGAGTATACACACTCTACATGATGGAGGGTTGGTTTGGTTATTGAGTGGGTTGTGTACGGCTGCGGCGACGGCTGCGGTCGCTCCTCTACCAGTCCGAGGATTTGGCCAGCAAGTCTGCAATGGACTCAAGACCTTTCTGGTCCTGCTCGTCGAAGCCACCAACTTCTGCACAATCAATGTCGATGACACCGACGACCTACATGATCGACATCAGAATCCTAGTCTTCCGGTTTGTCCTGGGGTCTGACGGGCGGACTGGAAATGTGACAAATTGCCTTGCCTCATTAAGTCATCTGAGTTGGGCGGGACATACCTTTCCGCCGGCTTTGATTGGAACCACAATCTCACTCCGGCTATCACCATCGCATGCAATGTGGCCCGGGAACTGATCAACGTCCTTCACCAGCACGGTTGTGCCCTGCTGGGCTGCAGCACCGCACACACCCTTCCCGATCCGAATCGTCTGGCAGGCGACCTTGCCCATGAAAGGGCCAAGGATCAACTGATCTTGGTCAAGAGGGTCGAGGACATAGAAGCCGCTCCAGTTGACGGCCGCCGAAGGGCCCGGGAGCGAGTGGAACAGGTGCCAGAGCAGCGAGGCGGTGTTGGCGGTATTGGCCACCCAGTTCCGCTGGTCAGCAACAAGGGTGGTAAGGGAGTCCAAGAGTTGCGCGTATGCAGCCGGCTTGTCTAGGCCGCTGGAGAAGTTCGCTGCATCAGCGTGAGGCTATCGAGGAGGAAAGATTGGTTAGACAGAATGGATGGACATGGACATGGATGGACCGTCTCGGCGGCGCGGAGAGGCTACTGACCATGACTGTGACTGCAGTCGATATCTGTCCAACCTGATGCCCAACGCACGTCCGTTTGGCTTCTGTTTCGCACCCAAACCCTCACCGAACTTCTAGAACACAGTGACAAGGCAGGGTCACTCTGAAGTTGACTTTGGTACCCGTCTCGAGGCCGCCCCATCCAGGTGAGATATTTCATATTGCGTGCTCTCGGCTGACCCGAAACCGGGGGTCGGCAAAGTTCCCTTTCACAGACAGAACCAGTATATTACCCAGTCCTCGGGTGCAGGCAGACTGCAGACTGCGGATTTCATTTCCAAGAGAAACCGCATGATTCCTGACCAAGGGTCCTAGAGGACTCCCAGTAGCTGATCAAGAGGCCACGATGACTGCTTCACCGTGCCTACCTAGGACGAGACAAACTCCTCCGCATACCCGCCGCGGCAATGTCCTGCACGTCTTAGTATTCTGTCATCCACATCCAGAACCGCAGGCTATCTGATTGCGACCCGTGTCACCCACTACGCAATGGACGATGGGGATGCTTACACTGGGGCATGGTTACGGCAGCTGGGATCAGAGGACAGATTTCAGAAAGCAACAGCAGCTAACAGCTAACAGGTAGCAAGATATAGGGAATGTTGTGTGTCCACAACGGCCTCGATGGCAACACCCACAACCGAAAGCTCCACTGAATGCCAAATCCCCTTCTCTGCTTCTTACATGACACTTCTCCCAGCAAAATCCTGACCGTGCCGATTCTTCCTTGTGGTCAGAGCCACTATCACCTCTGCGCGTCACTGCCCACCGAAAAGCTCTGCTGCGAGCGAGCCGGACCTACCGAGATGTGATATGAACGATTTGCGGTTAAAAAGAGAGAGCTGAGATCATACTGCAGTCCCATTGGGTATACCTGGTAATAGGGTGAACCGAACCAAGTCGATTCTCTTGTTGCCTTACAGTATCTGGCGGCACGGCTGGTGTTGGTGTTGCCACTGGGAACTGGGAATGAATTATAAGAGCAGAGGGCCATGACAATAACTCCAGTACGGCTTGGGCTTGATGACCATTTTGACGGCTCCAGCAGAAGTCGCAGTCGTCCTGCTGGTAATGGGCCGAGGATGCTATCCTCTTTCATATGCACTGCTTCTCGACTGCGCTGCTGTTAGTCGATCGAGCGACATCGTGCCATGTCCTTTATCCACGCCGTCACCTTCTGATCTTTGTTAGGGTTCATCTAGATAGGTACACCAAGGCCTCTACCCGCGATTCCCACCCTAGAAGGAGTATCCGATGCATCTCTTCATTATTGGCCTGTGTTCCAGTTCCTATGTTGAGCGGTACGGAGCAATAGTTCCTCCGTCAGTCACATGACTCGGGCGGCATTAACGCCAATGTGTTCTAATCACCGAACGCTACGTACACATGTAGGTATGTATGGATAGTTATCTCCATCTTTCAGACGACGAGCTTTCCCTCTTCATTTCTATACGAGAGGACGGCGCACCTATTAGGCCATACACAAGGCTCCTTAAGGCCCCCGTTCCGACTTCAGTTCCGGCTTGGCTTGTTGCTGCGGATAAGCTGTTCGGGCGCCTTATCTTCTTTGTAGTCACCCAATCTCGCCTTGCACAGTCATCCTCATCGTCATCCTCATCTCAAGAAATCTATCCTGCAACAGCCACCATCGTCACCATCACCATCACCATCACATCACCGTCGCCCTCATCATCATGTCTTGCCCCGACTGTTTCCGAGGCTCGGTTCACACGCATTCAGAGCCCACAGGCACCATTGAAACCCTGCACGGCGTGCGAACTTACGTGGCCGGTAGCAGCGATAGCAGCCGGTCCAAGTCGGCCATCCTCTACCTCCCCGATGCCTTCTCACTGAAACTCGTCAACAACAAGCTCTTGGCCGACCAGTATGCCTCTGCCACCGGATGCCGCGTCTTGATCCCGGACGTGGTGCAAAACGGTGGCCTGTCGCCAGACCTGATGCCCTCTATGGAGGTGGTCATGGCGCCGTTGGAGAAACGAACCATTGGCGCCGTGCTGTACAAGGTGTACACCGCGTTGACGCTGTTGCCTTACGTCGTACCGTTCATGCTCTTTGGTAAGCCCGCCACCGTCTACCCACAGATCCTGGCCTACGCGCGCGCGGTCAAGGCGGAGTTGCCACCAGGTGGCAAGCTCGGTGTCGCTGGATTCTGTTGGGGTGCTTGGCCCGGCACTAAGCTGTGCACGGAGACAACCGTCGAGGGCGGCTCTGAAAGATTGATCGATGCTCAGTTCAACGGGCATCCCAGCTACATTATCGACACGCCGGAGATGGTGATCGACGCCATCAAAACGTTCAAGGTGCCCTACGCCTCCGCCGTGGCCGAACTGGATATCCAATTCAATGCCGAGGCCGCGGCACAGACCGAGGCCAAGCTCAAAGAAGCCATCGCGGGCCCCAACGAGGACAAGTACAAGTACGAATTTCGCATCTACAAGGGATGTCATCATGGCTTCTGCGTTCGGTCCATGAAGGAGGACGAGCTCAACGCCCAGGGCGGCCGAGACGCAGCCAAACAGGCGACTGATTGGTTCAACAAGTATTTGAACTAAAGAAAATCCAAGTCCATCATCTGTCCTGTCCTGACCTGAGCCTGTTCACCTTCTCCGCCACCACTAGGTCGGGGATGGTAGGATGGATCTTGAGATACGAGAGAAGGAGCTGCGACCAAGTCAGAACGAAGGAATTCACAGCTCAGACATACACTGGTGTGACTTGTTGCTTGTTTCTTGTCAAGTGTCTGTCTGCAGATAGGAGGAGCTCGCCCCCGGCGCTACAGAATTCCCTGCGCCGACACCGTCCTCGAAGGGCTATTCTCTGGTCTTTTCGAGTGTTGAGCCTCCAGCTTGCTCTTGCACTTGTTTCTGCTTCTACTGGAAAATGAAAATAGCAAATGTACCCAACCGAGCTAGCATAGGGAGATGACTGCTTCCTTCAGGAGGCCCACTGCCGATAGTTAGTTAGTCACCTGTGAACGCCTCAAACTCTAAACATCGAGAGTATGAGTACAGTAGTTGTAGTACGGAGTGAATTCTCCGTCCAATCATCGACTCTCTCGCATCACTGGATAGGGCGTTGTTTAGAGGTGAGAGTTGAGTGAGAGCCCTCTTCACAGCCAAACCTGGCAAGCAGTCATCCCCCTCCTTCTTCCCCTCTCTTGTACTTCCTGGTTAATCGGTGCCTTAACCCTTCAATCTATTCCCACTTCTCGCCCACTGACTACGAAAATGATTCTTATCGCAGACTGTCTGCTAGAACATGTCGTTGTCCAGTACGGAACCACCATCTGTTTACCAATTGGATGGGCTACCTCCGTGCCTCTGCGCCTCTGTGCCTCCGATGTCCGAGAGACCGACCAGGATGTTCTCCCTGAAACTGCTAAGTCTCTCGTCACACCTTCCTGAAGACAACTACAACAAACTTGCAGTTTGCGGGTGGTCGAAATGGACGCGATTGTGTTAGGATGTTTACTGCTTTTTCGCTCTCACGTGCAGGTAAACCCCTGGTCCTTTCTTTCACATATCTGCAGCAACAAAATTCGCACTTTGCTCCTATTTCATTCGGAGCTGCTTCTGGCTTTGTAGCCGCCCTTCGGTCCAGCATTCCCACCGCGCAGGCTGTGCTTCAACCAAACCCTTCACGTCGAGTTGCTGTCCGATCAGCTATGGCTCCGCTACTTGTGCTTGAGCATAATTCCGCTCCTGCCCTTGCCCTGAACAACAAATCCAAAGAGTGGGAGGAGATCGAAGAGGAAGATGATAATATGCTCATCAAATTACAATGGGAACCTTCGAGGCAAGCCTTCCTCGACGACCTTCAACGTCAAATACCGAACATCCGCCGCCTCATCGCTCACCACCTATCGTTGAGCCGGTCCCAACAGTGCGAGATTTCAGATAGGTCTGAATGGCGAGGCGGCGGTTTCAATGCCTGCATCCCAGTCAATATCTCCAATTGGCGAAGACAGCGACTTATGTTGAGGTGCCCATTTCCCTACATGCAGGCCGGGCCAGATGGGTTGGACGAGAAAATCCGGTGTGAAGCTGCAACATATATCTGGATTTCGCAAAACTGTCCTCGAGTTCCGATCCCTCGCCTTTGGGGGTTTGGACTTCCGAACGGCTCTAGTGTATGGCTCTTGTGATGTACTGGGATTGGAGCTTACTCGGTTCTAGTTTAGGTCCGTCAGACATCTCTCCTGGATCAGACGAGTTATCGAGGCCTTGAAACGCTGCTGGGCCTGGCGACAGCCATTCAGCGCCCCCTTTGCCCGTTTCCAAACCCCGTTTCCATTGAAGTCTGGTTACCTCCTTGTGGATTTCGTCGAACAAGGTCAGGGGATCAAGAAGCTGTCAGAGATATGGCCGCCCGCGACTCATGTGCAGAGACAGAACTTTTACAGAAGTCTGTCAAGGATTATGCTTGACCTAGCGCGGCATCATTTTACAAAAATTGGTTCTTTCACGGTCGACAACTATGGGAATATCAGTCTCAGCAACCGACCATTAACGATCCAGCTTCCTTTACTGGAGAGTAGCGGCATTCCTACAGGCATTCCGCGCGATCGAACTTATGTCACTACCGATTCGTATATCCGCGATATTCTGAAATGTCACGATATGAAACTGAGATATCAGCCCAATGCTGTCCCCGATGAGTCCGAAGCCCAGAGTCAAATGCCGGTGCTTACCATAATGCGAGCTCTATCGCCCAGTTTTACCATGGAGCCTTTCCAGTCAGGACCTTTTTGTCATATCTGGACGGATTGCGATCCAAGCAATATACTGGTCAACCAAAGGTACGACATTACCTGTCTTTTCGACCTTGAATGGATACCCGTTTTGCCGATTGAAAGACTCTCTCCACCCTTTTGGCTGAGTGGCTACCCAGTTGACGGACTTGGAGAGGAGAAAAGGATACATTACGACGCCATGTGTGTAGAATTCCTGGATATCTTCGGCCAGGAGGACAACAACCAGCACTCACCGCTTAAACCACGATTTTACACCAAGATCATGAAAAATGCCCTCGAGAAAGCGACACCCTGGTTTTGGGCTAGCTTGGACCATCCCCGCGTGACGTACAATCTGTTCTTGGATCACTTACAACCTCGACTGGCGCCGACACACTCAGAGGGAGTCGATTGTATACAGTTCCATCGAATTTTGGCTCCATATTGGACTCTGAACGCATCCGGATTTGTTGATGAAAAGATCAAGGACCACCAAAAATATCTGGAAGATTTGAGGACACGGCATCTGGCTCGGTTCGTTGGTTCGGGATGAAACGCTCCGATCTCACCTTACTTATACTACCTCTCCAATCTGTTCTATCTCTCCAATTCTCTCCTGTTCATTTAACCTCTTTCTTGATTCTACCTCCTCAAAATGACTTTGTCCGCCTCCGGTTTGCCAAAAAAGATCGATGCAACAGTAAGACAACGTCATCAGCTTGGATCCATTCCGTCGAGATATCTAGCCGATTTAGCAGATCGCTTATGCTTAACCTTTGGCCCTTCCAACGCTGTCCACGGCGGGTCGTCCAGAAGAGCTCGGACGTAGATATCTGTCCTCGTCGCCAAATCACACTGCTCAGGTCAACCTACCTATACTCGATCTTCACTCTGCAACTGCTCGCTTTGATCTGGCGAAACTCCGAAGTCCGCAGTCCGTAGTCCGCACAGAGTAGGTAGTACAGAGTACAGAGTACGGGAAGCTGCATTCCTGAGGGTGAGGGTGAACAAATCCATCGCTTGGAGGACCGAGGGATCCGAGACATCTCTCTGTCCCTGGGCTCCTAAGGCCCCCTATGTTCGCCCAGCCACCACCTCCCATCGCAGATATCTCAACTTCCATATCCTTTTGCAGATATCTCAACGTCCATATCCCTGTGGAGAGATTTCCGCACGTCATCCCTCGGGCCCGTGGTGACTCCGGCAACTCTGAAATGTGCTCGTCTGTACACTCCTCCCCACCATCGGAAGCTGGTATTTGCGTCGTCCCTCCACGAGGAAGATATCTCGCGTCCGGGTTCACAGCCTTCATATATCAGGACGGCGACATTATTCTCAAGTGCCCGAAGAACCTCCCCGACTCCGATCCCGAAAGCAACCAACTGTTCCAGGATTTAGTCAACAACGAGCGGGCCATCTACGAACGGCTCGGTCCGCATGCCGGAATCCTCACGTACTATGGAGTGGACGAACCGACCGGCGCCACCAAGCTAGAGTACGCCAACGACGGCGATCTTTCCGACTACATCAAGAGCCAACCGCCGCCATCGGAAGCCCGTCGCGTCGAGATGATTCGATTCCTGGCCACGACATGGCTTCACATCTATACCTCCCACGTGTCCATTCAGGACATCAAGACGGACAACATCCTGGTGCGGGACGGCGTTCCGAAGGTCGCGGATTTCACTGACAGCGTGGTCTTTGAGGACGAATGTCCCAGAGACGATTTGAGGAGCGACCTTCTCGGCATCGGTTGCGTTATCTACTCGATCGCGACATGGGATGTGTTTGGCTTTGATTGGGGGGAGGGAAATCGCTGGCCGGGTCCTGATCAGTTTAGGCCCGTTGACAATGTCTTGTTTGGGGATGTCATCGCTAAATGCTGGACCGGGGACTATGATAGTATGAATGGTCTTTATGGCGACGTTGTGAGGCTCGCTGCTGGGTTTGGCGCATCAACTGCTAGTGGGATCGTTCCTCCTTTCCCGGCTGAATGACTTGTTCCTGACTGATTGCTTGTTCCCAATTAAATGACTTGGATGTATCCCCTAGCTCAGCATGGACTCCCCGGCCCTAGCGATCTGGATGCAGTGCTGAACCACAAAATTCCCAACACTGTATCTGAGCCGGTAGGTTTACGAGGGCGCCAGTCTCGTCTCGTGAACCCCGGACACTGAGATCTTCCAGACGGGCTGTCAAACTTAGGCACTAACTTAGGCATTCCGAGCCTTGTTCTTTAGCTAGAAGGCCCTAAGGCTGGTACAGGCACACCTACACTACTGGGCCAAAAGTATTCGCCACACCACCACTTTTCCACCCCGCACCAATCTAACACTAGTCTGGGCTTGGGCTCCCCCATACCCGTTTGATAGCGAACATGGGACATGGAGCATGGAACTTTTGATAGAGAACATGGAACATTTCAACCTCTGACACGGGCAATCAAGCGCAGGTCGGATGGGATGGGATCAGCCCACGAGTTAAGTGCAGCTCTCAAGCGTCAGAAGGGCCGGCGCAAAGATCTGGCAACCATTGAGGGTGGATCTGAGAGGATCTCGTTTGATCCTGATGGGCCTAGGACTCTCCTCGTGCCTCTTCGATAGCGAACATGGAACGTTTCAACCTTTGAAAGGATACTGGGCCATGGGACCGATCCGTCCGTCAGGTGTTGATTTGTCAAGGGTTGAAATGTTCCATGTTCTCTATCAAAGGGGTATGGGGGGAGGCCCAGACTATATAGGTGTGCCTACCTACCTAACAGTATACTAGCCTTATAGTTGAAGGGCAAGGCTGGCAATGCCTAAGTTAGTGCCTACTGTAAGTTTGACATTCCTATCACCCCGCGAGGGTTTGCTGACAACGCATAAGGAGTTCACTTCATTCCGCAACCCGCCTTCTCTAATATGCACACTCACCACTGGCATGGGTTGGTTACATCGGCCAGCAACGACATGTTATTATACCGACTGGCCTGCCTTGCTGCTGGGAGTGCGAGCGACATGGAAGGTTTTGTCTCCGTCTCAGCGATTCTTGGAGTCTGTTCCATCTATTCCAATATATGTGAGATTGCGTGCACAACCTACCTGGAAACCAGCACCATTCACCATATAGCCAACATCTAGTCCCCATCTGCGAATGACATTATTTATATCTTCGGTCAAGCCTGATCCATCCCAAACCACCATCCATTTCAGACAGGCTTTCACGGACTTCCATATCATATGGTCCTTCGTGGTGGAGAGCCTCGGTGGCTCGAGAATCGCAATCATAGGAGGAATTCTGGAGGTCTTGAAGCATATCATCGACGGTATAAGGATCCGGAGGAGGACCTTCTGGCAATGGTTGCCGATGTACGCACCCGCATTGTCGGCTTCTGCCCTAGCAGAATAGAGACACTCTCTTAAGAATGGCCGGATTTCGGGTGCATGAGGAGGATGGACCTGTTTGAACTAAAAAGAAATGTCGGCTCGGAGCTCATCATTGTAAGTGCAGAACAACGCGCTACTTTAACGCAAACGGTCCCTTTGCCTCAATTTTGACCTTGAAAACGTAACCTTCTATTCCATGGTCATCAATAAGTCCCTCCACGCAAACACTTTGTCATGTCGAGTATCGCCTGAGTTTCGAGAAGTGAAGCTTTTTCCAAGGTTGGGGCGTCCCGGAGGATGCTCTTGTTGTCTTCAGAAAGAAAGGGGAACTTCGATGGTGGGGAGTTGAAGGTGATAATGTTCAGGGTTCGGACACTGAGTGGACGTCTCCTATATGACGGTAACACCATTGAGCATCGAACAGTAGGATTCGAGCAAATATGATCGTAGCTGACTTCCAAGGGTTTCTTGAACGAGGGGAGACGCAGGTATCAAAGGCTCTGAAGCGCAATCACGTGCCAGAGGTCTTGGTGCGGGCCGTCCCGCGAGTCCCCGTGCAGCATTCGGACTGTCCAAGCCCATCACGCTAAACATTTCTCGATATTGGTGGTTCCACTAACGCACCTCGTAACCGTGGCGGGCGCGACGAGCAGCCGGATCTGAACCTCGATGAAAATATACCCGAAGAAGGAGGTCATCGGCACCGTGTGAGCAACACACCAAGGACAGAGAGCTGGCGGGATGTCACAATTGCCCAGAAACGCCGCTTGAAGAGGCAGGGATACTCCGCGCAACAAGTAAGAGAAGGCCAGTTTTCGAGTCAAAATAGGAGGTACTGGAAACTTGGGGCGGAACGTCTTCGAGGGAGATAGCTCATCGTGAGCAGATTATGCAGGTCGAGTATGGGGAGAGGTAGGCAACGTCAGAGGAGCTCCCGACAAGCACGAGTCTCAGACGAGGCAGGGTCCGTACTGGGCACTGTCGACTAGGCTTACTTCCTATGGTGAGCTCATATTATGTTGGATCAAACAACTCCGTCCTCCTATCCGTATATATCTCGCCCCAGTAATGTCCTATAAACATAGCTTTCGTCCGCACGACAAAAGTGTGGACAAAGTGCGATGCTAGATACACCATTTTTGTCCCCGCAAAACGAAATCGAGAAGTTGAGGGATTTTGTCAGCGTCCGTATCAAAGTAGTCCTGTTCTTCGTAGAATTTCGTCCAGAATGGTGCTTCAAAGTCCTTGGTGTAGAAGCCAGAGAGCCCCAGTCAATGATCCCCACCACATCAAAATTCTCATCCACATATATATTATGCTGGGCAAGATCGTTGTGGCAGAAGGTGTACTTCTTTGACCAGGATATCCAAGGCGCCCACGGGGTAGATGGAGCCTGCTCTCAGAAACGGTCCGGAGGAATGATTTTGCCGGTCAAAGAACCCACGGTGCGGGATTTCAAGTTCTGAAGTTGGGCAGGACAAACTGTGTGATATACCTATCCACCGCTCCGACAGCCTGCTCTCGATTCACTTTGACCAAATCAAGAGTTGTGCCGTGTACACGCTCCATTCCGGCTTGTAGATTCCTTTCTCATTTTCATTTTCGCTGAATTCGAGGATTTTGGAGACGGGGATAGTGGTGTTTGCTCGGATGATTTCGAGTGCCGCATACTCGTTCTGGAGCCGCTGAGCACTCCGCGGTAGTCTGATGACCTGGCCGAGGTAATTTCTCCCACACTCGTGCCCCAGAGGTTCCGCTTGGTGTTTCTGCGTCCTCATCATCTTCGAATTGTCGGCCCAGTCTTCCATCCCATGCTCGGCCGGGCAAAAGCAAGGGTCAACAAAAGTGTACCTGCGATAACCGCAAAATAGAGGAAGGAAGAGGATCGGAGGTCTAGGAGAGCATTAGCCTGTTTGGTTTGAGGGGGTTCTCGACCTACGTGCTATGGAACTGAACGGGAATAAAAAAGAAGAGAAGAACCTGCGGCTCCAGGATGTCCACTCGGAGTAGCATGGGGAGAAAAATATATTCGGTGCGAATAAGGTTTAGGTACAAGTCAACCCTAATTTAGGAGTTCCACCACTGCAAATGGGACCTAAGGAACGCCTAGACCCCAGCCTAAGCCTAGGAGCCCCAGCCACTACGAGTAGTACTGTACCCGCACCGTTCCCTAGTTGCCTGGACCTAACCTTTTGACAAGGGTGTGACGGATGGGGATGGTCCATGTGGCACACTGTATTGCCATTTGCCGCCACAAGCACAGCGGCAAGTCGCCATTGAAGATATGTAAAGGCATCGAAGGAAAAGAGAAGATCATTCAGATTCATTGTCATTGTCTCTAGCTAATACTACGTTGTTCTGAGGACCCGGCCGCTCTTGCAAAGATGAGACGACACTCCACCATCCCGCCTTCAGCAGTTCGCCAGCAGCCAGCAAGAGCTGCCAGAGCCAACTAAAATGGAGATTAGTAGCAGAGTACCGGAACTGCTCTCCTGCTGAAGGCGCCTCAGTTTTATACTTACCAGGACGAGTTGGAAAGAAAAGAAAGAAGAAGGAAGAGAAAGGTCGGAGAGGAGGAGATACTTATACCCTTCAAATCGAGGATGCCAAGACCTGAGAAGAGGTGGCGGCAGTAACAGGGTGCGGCAGAAAGGGAATGGCAGTGAAGTCAAGTCTATAACACAGGTGGCGGCAGTGAAGTCAAGTTCATAACACAGGTGCGGCAGCAACGAGGTGCGGCAGAAAGAGAATGGCAGTGAATCAACACACGCGTTTGAGTGACGCGCTGAGTGACGCGTTGAGTGACGCAGGAAGTGAAGCATTTGATTGTAGCTTCGAAGTGAAGTCGGGTACCTTCAACGAGCAAGCCCGGTAGGCAAGCCAATGTGGTGGCTGAGCCTTACATGATCATGGAATCTTGGCACTACCTAGGAAGACGAACTCAATCCTCTGACCTGCCACCTTCCTAGAACCCTTCCCAGTAGTATGGCCAGAACTTGAATGGCATGATCCACGCGCCGTGCAATGTTTTGAACTGCTCGGATGTTTCGACATGCCGGCACTTTTCCCTACCAAGTGGCAGACTTGATGTCACCCTGCTTACCTGCTTGACATTGAAACAACCACCACAACCATTCCCCAAGCGCTCATCTACTTCCGCTAAAGCGTCTTGACTTCGCGTTCGTCTCATACCCATATTACCCGGTCGTTGCGTTCCCACGATAGCTCCCTTTACCGATGAACAGCACAGGTTCAAGCATCATTTGACACAAACCGTGATGGCTTCTATCGGTGTACAAAACTCCATTCCACCGCAACGAACAGGAACAATGGAAAATGGTCGCCGGTGGTCGGATTTGGAACAAGAAGATGATAATATGCTCATACACATGGAATGGGGTCGATTACAAGAGGAATTTTTCGATTACCTTGAAGCTAAAACACGCACAATCGAAACAATAGTCGCTCAGCACCTAGATCTAGGGCCGCATCAACAGTGCAGGGTGGCGGATCGATCGCAGTGGTTGCACGGGAGCTTTAACGTATGTGTTCCCGTCGTCGTCAGCAACTGGCAAGCGAAACGTGTCTTGATCAGATGCCCTTTACCTCATCGCCTAGGAGGCCTGCATACGACCACCCTTATGGAGGAAAAGCTTCGCTGCGAAGCCGCCTCGTTTGCATGGATTTCTGAAAATTGTCCTCGAGTTCCCATTCCGCGCCTATGGGGCTTTGGACTTCCCGCTGGCATGAGTGTGAGTTCTACACCGATCTCCTTGATTCCTGGCTTATAATTTCACAGTTCTCACCTATCGAGCGTGCATCTTGGCATGTACGAGCCTTAGCCTCTATCAAACGCTGCTGGGCATGGATGTTTCAAAGATCGTATTTCCGTCCTTTCATCCCCTACCAAAGTCACGTCTCACTGAAAACCGGCTATTTAGTGATGGAATTCATTGAAAAAGAGACGGGTGAAATGCTCTGGGAAATGGGGTTCCCCGGTTCAGAGCATAGGCGGACATTCTTTCGCAGTTTTTCGAGAATTTTACTGGACTTGTCACACCCTCTCCCCAAAATAGGGTCGTTTACGCTTCTTGACTCTGGAGATGTGAGCCTGAGGAATCGACCATTGACAAAGGGCCTAGCGGAGCTTGAGAATGAATCCATTCCCACTGACATCTCTCGAGATTACTGCTATACAGCCACCGATTCCTACCTCTATGACCTTCTACATTGTCATGCCCTGAAACTACGGCATCAACCGAATTCGACTAGAAATGATTACGACACCGAGGGTCAAATGGCCACAATTGTTATGCTACGGGCCTTACTTCCTCAGTTCATGAACCGACGATTACGGCACGGACCGTTTAGTTTCACGCTGACAGATCTTCATGAAAGCAATATTTTCGTGAACAAGCAGTACCACATTACCAGCATCGTGGACCTTGAGTGGAGTTGCTCTTTACCGATCGATATGCAACATCTACCCTTTTGGCTGGGCGGAGATCAATTCGACGACTTGTACGGGGAGGGTAATGAAGAAAAGGAAAGACAGTTTATAAGGACGTGTGAAGAATTTCTCCAGATCCTTGAAGACGAGGCTGGCGCGCTATCTTCACTCTCTCCTCGCTCCTGGATTGAGGGAATGAGAGATTGTTTCTGCATGAAGAACTACTGGTATATAGCCGCCTTGAAAATACCAGGTGCGGCATATAACCTCTTTATCGACTGCCTGCAACCACAATTTGCACCATCGCATTCGGAAGGAGAAGGGGCGATCAGATTTCAGGACGTTGTAGCCCGGTACTGGAGTGTCGACAGTAAGAGATTCGTGGAGCAAAAGTCTCGCGATCGAGAAACATATCTATGTCAATTACGATCTGCATATCAACCTGGGTGTCATTAGATCAGACCTTCGCAATCATTCTTCTCACGACTGTTTAGTTTCTGCTTCCCTTATCGCGCGTTGAGCCCGATTATCTTTTCTCCTTTTCTTGCTTTCTGCTGATGATTTCATCATATTTTCCATGTCGACATTTGGCTTCCGTTCTGCCTTGGTGATGGTCGTTGTGGTGGCCGTAGAGACCGAGGTGCTTTTCCCGGAATAAGTCGATGATGTGACTGACTGGCGATTATCAGGCATGATTGGAAATCATTTAATTTGAGCGGAAGAATGTGATCAAGTTCTTGGGGCGAAAAGTAAAATATATACCAGGCTTAGGAAGCACATTCTTCCCAGTTAAAAACCTGATACGTCAATCTTCATATAATCTTCCGCCTTCCTCCCACTCAGCTATCTGCCTTGGACCGAACACGGCGTACCCTTGGGGTCGAATCCCTACACCCTGCGTCCCGAGCTTCGTGTAACTCGTGACACCGTATTCTCGGGCTGCTGGCCCCTGGAAGGCGCTGGAGGGGATGAAGGGGGATATTTCTCAAATCTTACTGGGTACCAACCATAAGAGACCTATTTCTGGATCATACCTAGTAGGCTCCAAAATAGGGCAGCTTCTAGATCATGTCTTGCCCGGACAAGAGCAGTGAAGTCTTGTCTCCTAAGAGGACGACAGTTTGGAAGCGGGAAGGCCATGTATATGATCCCCTGGCGTGGCATTAGCAGCGAGGTAATAGATCAATGTCAGGGATCGATGGTAGACGCCTGCTCACTCGGGCCAGTCGAGTTGCACATAGCCAAAGCAACCAGATCCTGATTTTCACCCCAAGGGGTACCTGCTGCCGACTGCTATATCATGTACCTGCTGCCGATTGCGATATCATGTACACGCTGCACAAAGCTTTCCATGCTGGCCTGATAGTCCTTGGTAAGCATATAATCTCGTGACACGGAAGGGTTACCAAGCACGTCAAGGTTTGGCTCTAAGACCCCATGGTTGCCTACCTACCTGGTACTAATTTACTTCCCCAGAATCGGCCTTTCTCGTCCAACTAACCATTCTTTGGCGCCTGCGGCTTGAAATCGTATGTCACCCTCTATCCAACGCAAACATCGACCCAATCCATTGACTGTTCGATAGACTGCCTCCCAATATGCAGCCACGTCTCAATATGCAGCCGTGCCTAACCTGCCCTGCTATATTGTGTCCTTTCTCGAGGTCACCCTTCCACGCTTTTACCCTCGACTCTTTCTCTCTCCATCACTCATGTTCGTCCTCAAAGAACCTAAGCCGAGAAAGCGACGACGATCCTCACAATTGCCCGATGATCTCGAGCTGAAGCCGGCAGCAAAGAAACAAAACCCTCTTTCGGAAAGCCGTGATCTCCCTCGTCATCGTCCTCCTAGCTTTTGGGATACGCTGTCCAAGATTCGATTGAGTCGCCGCGCTCTCCGGGAGTTTGAACGCAGGAATTTCGAACTCGAAGAGAAGGCTCAGCCGTCTGGCACACTTACACCAAAGGTCGAATATCCCACGGGGCGTGCTCCCCTACGGCTCAAGAGATTTGCTCGACGTGGTGGGCCAGCCGTTCCAGAACTGGCGGCTCAAGAGGAGGTAAATCGACGTCCAGCTCCGTTCGCGTTGACCGCGTTGTGCTTGCTGGACTGGCATTCAGATTCATCAAATCATCGTTTCACCTCCAAATCCGCATACATTTCCTCACCACCGTACGCTCGTAGTCCATCAACATATGTAAGAGCGGCAAGGGAGGGGCAGGGGTCATCCAGCATGTGCATCTGTGTTTTTGCTGATCGTCACTAGATGTAATTCACCAAACTGTCCCAAGTATCCAATGCGTATGGTATTCTTTACCGGCTACAGTTGCAGTCGGTGTTGCGGTAGGTTCGGTGGCGTCACATTCCAGAGGGATGAGCACTGCTGCCTACACGCCAAGACGGGATGGGATTTAATGGTGCAATATTCTCTCGTTATGTCTCGTTGATGGCGAGTGTGATTGCGGCGTGAGCGGCTGGCCTCGACCAAGCCAAGAAGTGCCAGCGTGATAGACTTTGCGTGTCGATCAGCGTGACTGGAGGGAGATCGAGTGGTTCGCTGGAGCTAGAGGGTTGCTTTGCCTCTATCTGCATTAGCTTGGTTGTTCTTGTGGTGGTGGTGTGTGTGTGATATGTGGTATGCTGACTGATATTCTGACAGGAAACATGTAACAAGCAACCACTTCTCGGCTGCAGAAAGCAGGAAAAGAAAAAAGTGGAGTGGCACCAAGTGGAATTAGTTGTCAAGTCCAAATCCCATTGCGCTGAATACGAACGACCCCTCTCGACAACAGAAGCCCGAAGCCATAAGCCCGAAGCCAGACGCCAGAAGCCTGAAGTCAAAAGTCAGACTAAGTGCACATTGACAACTCAGCTGATCGACCAGAGATGCAGGTTTGCACCGCTAAGGCCAAGCCACGGCGAATGGGACCAGGATCAACCTCTTTTTTGGCGTCCGAATTACTAGGTGGGTTCCGCACTAAATTGGTGCATTTCGGTACTGTACTAGTACGGATACGCGACGCATGTGAAAGACACGACCTACCCAATGATGGTGGCAGTGGTGGAGTGGACCCGGTAGGCAATATCAATAACATTTCCTAACTGCGTGTTTGAGTATGAACTCTGTACCGTAACTCTGTGACTCTGTAGATGTAAGAGGTGTAGGGATATGTGTACGATGTATGTGTATGTGTAGGTATGTGTAAGTGCGTGTATTCGTATTGGGTTGATCTTGACATCACACCACACCACCGACCCCGCTTCTCGAGGTTGGAATTTGAACCAGGATCAGCATCAGCATCAGCATCACCAACACCAAGACTACTCGTACGATAGTCTGATCCAAGACCAAGACTAAGATGTCAATGGACACGTTTGGCCCACTGGGCTGTGCGTGCAGTGCACTGATGTGCACTGATGTGATGTGTTGGTACCGTTACATCTGAGAGCAGCAGAGCAAGGCTTCCAATGGTGTGCCGGCAGGTTGGATCGTCCAATCAACGGTCAAGAATGCTGACAGTGACGGCACCATATTTTGACTTTAGATTTGACTTTGGGGGTTGGACTTGGCGTTTAGAGAAAGAAAAGATACTACTGGATACTGGATACTGGAAACTGGAAACTTACTGGAAACTCACACCAACACTAACGCCGACGCTGACGCCTGATCGGAGACCTATGGAGACTAAGAGTACAACAAGACACACTCCAACGCCCCACCATACCGTACCGACCCCTACCCCAACCCCTTACTCCGTCCACCTACGAGTATGACCTACGACCTACAGATGACAGATGACATAATGGATTAAGGTTATAGACTACGGTTATGGACTCGGGACTCGGTTATGGATGGTTATGGACGAAGGTTTGGGACTAGGATGACAGATTGGACTGAATGACAATGATAGACTATTACACATGAGTCACGCCCAATGAAGCAACCAGTAGGAAATGGAAAAGCAAGTTGAGTTGTAGGACTACGCCGTGGGGTGGGCCATGAATGACAGACCCAGACCCAGACCCAGACCCAGACTCAAACTGCGGCACAGCGGCAGCAGCAGCGGCAGCAGCAGCGGCAGCGACGTCTCAGACTTTCACAGTCAAAGTCAATTTAATTTTCAATGCATGAGTTGATAAGTTTAGTTCAGTTGCGTACAGTTTGAAATCGTTCCGTTCCATCCATCACACGAACAGTTTAGCGCGGCTGGGAGGGAGGGGCTAAGGAAGGGCCTGAAGGAGGGAGTTGAGGGAGGGAGTTGAGGGAGGGAGTTGAGGGAGGGAGTTGAGGGAGGGAGTTGAGGGAGGGAGTTGAGGGAGGGAGTTGAGGGAG